TGACAAATGAGGGTCCCTGATCTGGGTGCTCTCAAGGGGTTGTTGACAGTCACTTCAGTTTTCCTTGGACTATGGTAGAATCATTCTGAAGTTTATCGGAAGAACAACATATAGAAAATGACAAAAACACTTTTGAAAAAAGAGAGGGAGAATAGACCCACTCTGCCGGGTTAGAATTGTAATAATTAAGACAGTATATTACTGCCACAGGAATAGACAAATAACTATTCAAATGGAAGGGATAGCCCCCAGGTAGACATTATTGTAATAAAACTTTCACATGTGAAAATGGAAAAACCAGACACAAATAGAAAAGAGTTTTATGTAATAAATGGTCAAAGTATTGGGATAGGTCATTAAGAATTTTGGAAGGAAAGTGAAATCAGGGTGGAATTGCCCACCTTGCAAATTACAGGTGCTTTAGGGTTAAATATAGAAAAAGGAAGAGAGAAAGAAAGACAGACAAATTAAAGTGAGAAAAAAATAGAATTTAATGTCAGTTTTCTGATTTGGGTTAATTTTTTAAACTTTTCAATGTAAATACCATTTCTATTAAATAAATAAACTGAAAAAGGGTGGTCAGAAAGGAAATACCGACCACCAATGACTTATTAACTACTTACATTTATTGAAGAGCATCTCTAAACATATCACCAAGGAAGAAACCGAATTAATACATTTATATGTAAGAAGATGCTCAACCTCACTGAATATAATAGTACTGCAGATTTAAACAAGGTGTCATATTGTGCCTGCTAAATTGACAAAAATGTTTTAAAATTTAACCAGTGCTGGTGGGGTTATAGTAATATCAGTATTATTCCTATATTGCTCATAATGGATTAAATTAAATAGCAGTTACCCTTTTGGAAAACAGTTGTTGTTAACACTGATATCAAAAACACCAAAAGTGTTTGTGGAGTTTGGGTAGTTCTCCTCCTGGAGATTTGTTCTTAATTGAAGAATGGAAAACATTCTATATGATTTAGATGAAGTGCTCTTTGTAGTGTGAGTGGCTCCCAGGCCTGGAAACTTTCAGAATCACCTGTGGATGCTGCTTAAAAATGCATTCCTGGAGGTTCTGACTCACTAGGTCTGAAAGGATGCTTAATCTGTATGCTTACTGAACACACCGGATGATTCCGATTTCAGTTATTTGTGTACCTTACAATGAGTAGCATACTCTACATGTCCAATTAATAGTGGCTTAGCAAATTGTAGTATTTCTCCTTAGTGAAGAATAATATACAGCCTGTAAAAAGTTTTGTGTATATGTGTTTTACAATTAGAGGGAAATGTGCAAAATTTTACCTATTAATTAAACTAAGCAGTAAAGACACTGGATAGAGGGCTGGAAGAAAACAGGAAAAATGAAAGCAACTGATTTTGTTGGGCTATTAGAATTAATAAGGAATTTCTTTAGTCCTAGGTGCACTGCTATGTTTATGTAATTTCTCTCAAAGTAAATTTGAAATTGTTTTGAATTTTTTTTCAGGCATGCTACTACCAGATCCAGCGTGAGAAGCTTAACTAGGCTGCATAACAGCTTGACAACTGGATTATCTATACACAGTGTTATAGCACCATCTGGCATCTTCCCGCAGTGGCAAAAAAGGATGGTCTTGAAATTAGGATGTTGTGCTATTTTGGTGGTTTTTTTCTGAACCTTACTAATGATCAGAGCCCTAAGCCCAGAAGAAAAGACTATACATTTTAGAGGTAGAGTTGAAAGGCTGTAGAAATCAGAATTGACCAGTCCCTGGCCAATAAGTTTTCAAAATACCATACACCTACTGTTTGAAAAAAGAGGATATCTCTTCCTACAGTAAAGGTTATGCCAGCTTCATGACGTTGCAAGAAAAGTTCTCAGTGTAGCTTATTGCATTAAAGAAGATGATGGATAATTTGGAGTTTCTGGTCTGCCTCCAGTTACCCCAGACCCCTTTGCAAGGAGCAGATTGTACTTGAAACTGAGGTAACCACACTATGCCTTCCTGAGTCCCTTGCAATCATGTGTGCATCATGCTTCTTTGCTGAGAGAGGGGAAGAGAACTTTTAAACTACAGTTTTAACTTTTTCTAAGCTTTTCCACCATGGTATTCATCATGGGAGACATTTGATATAGTGACCAGCAAACCACAACCCCAAACATGAAATGCATCTAAATAGTATTCTGCCTCCTGAGTAAAAAAGAACATGGGAATTTTGTTCTACAGAGTGAATACACTGGAATTCAGATACTGACCCTGCGCTGCTGTGGATCCTCATCTGTCCATGTGCAAACACTGTATCCCAACGCCTGTGAAGAGAGCCTGAAGAGCTTTTGCATGCGGGCTGTTTTGGAGCAGGACAAAAAACTAGGAGGTGGGGAAATGAAGAACTGCATCCCTCCTACATCCTACCTAGTGTTGTGGCTCTTCCCTATACCTCGCATTAGTTCACAGAGGGGAAGAAAAAGGAAACAAGCGTTGGCTTTTCCTATCTCAAAAGTATTATGACACTTCACTGTTGTAGTGTTTGTTTTTTTAATGTCCTATTGTAAGTGGTTGGTTTATACTGTATAAGTAACACTAATAGTTGTTCTGAATAACATGGGTGCTCTTCCTCATCTCATCTACACAAATGGTGAGCGTATGGAGTTTCTCCCTAATTTATTAACATCAGCAGATGTTAATTTGGAAAAAGGATCATGGTTCCTGCTCTACTTTATAATCAAGACAAATGTTTATTAAAATATTGTTTTGGAATGCTGGCTATAATGTAATGGCAATTTTCATAATAAAAGACATTGATCTTTACGAGGTTGTTTTGATTACAAGAGAGATGGCACAGGGCAGCTTAAAAATGTAAAAGAAATCCGGGTTTAGCATTTTTGCTTACATTGTAATCCATGCCTCTTTGTATTGGCTTCTGAGGATCCTTTAGGATTTTAGAAATCTCTCTTTAAAATAAAGCTTATAAAACTTATAAACAAAGCTTATAATTATAGCACCTTTGGTGGCAAAGGACAAATTAACTTTCTGATCCTAATAACCTGAGGACAGGGGTCTTTTTTTATTTTATTGTTCATGCTATTGCATTGGTCCCCCTTTTTCCTATGAGGACAAGGGTCTTAACAGAATCTACTATTTCTTTGGACAGAAGGCATATTTTGATAGTTCTCCCTCTCTCTCTCTCTCTCTCTCTCTCTATCTATCTATCTATCTATCTTTCCATCCCCCACCCCGCAAACAGATTCAGGGAGGGGAAGAGTGAGGAGTTAAAATATTCCGGTAGAAATATTAGGCCTTAGTTAATCATCCTCCTGTTGTAATGTCTTCTCAAGAAGCCTGTCCATTTCCCTAATGCTTTGGGATGAGACCAACACTTAAAGATTAGTTTATGTTAAATACTTTACATTAATTCCACATATGACTTATAAAAGCAAATGTACTGAATGCCTTTGACCCCTTAAGAGAGAGACCCTGGGCCCTGGCAGGTGTGACTGAGTGGATTGAGTTCTGGCCTGTGAACCAAAGGGTTGCCAGTTCAATTCCCAGTCAGGGCATATTCCTGGGTTGCAGGTCAGGTCCCCAGTAGGGGGCGTGCAAGAGACAACCACACATTGATGTTTCTCTCCCTCTCTTTTTCCCTCCTTCCCCCTCTTTCTAAAAATGAATAAATAAGAATCTTTTTTAAAAAGTATAAAAAAAAGAAAGGGAACTTAGGGTAATTGTGGAAATGGACAGAAACACTTGACACCCACTGAGAAATTCTCAAATGCTTGGTAGGCTGTTTCAGTCCTTAAAAAATATATATATAACTCATCCTTTTGTTGGAGTCATGAGTGAAATTGCCCAGTTACTTCAGATTTTTATAGTATATTTATACTTTTCAAATAGCATATTAATAAAATTTCATTTTTCTCGGGGGAAAGCCCTAAACCTCCAGGCCCATGTCTATAAATAGAAGTGCCTAGGTCTCATGCTGCAGTGTGCAAGGATCTCACACACATGATGAATGCTTGAAGCGGCCCATGAGGCAGTCATTCGCCCCACCGGTCCCTGTTTTACAGACAAGGAGTGGCTGTGATTTGCTCACTGTTAAAGCTGGGACTCAGACCTAGGACTCCCCAGTGCTCTTTCTACTACAGCTGCCAGAGATGTCATTTCATATGGATTATGCATTAAAGTTCAACATGAACTTTAAAACATGAGTTGGAAATGAAAACTTTTAGTAAAATTAAGTGCTTTTGATAAAATATGCTGTGCTCAAAACATTCACAAATGTATCACGTTCCCAGCTTGGATTTTCATTTACTGTGGAGAGCAGGGGAAAGCCATAGGTATTTTCCGGATAAAACAGCTGATAACCCTCTTCCAGTTGCTGTTTTTCACCCCGTGTCTTGCTGTCAGCAGCAGCATTTTCTCTTGTGCTTTTCATGATACCTACTTTGAAATGTTCTCTCCCTCACTGCAATGTAAAATTGTCAAATAAAGAAGTACCTCCAGTGTGAGAGAGAATGAGCTAACTACGAGTTCATTCAGAACGGGCTTGGTAGGGGACCTTTCAGAAGGAACTGCTACAGGCTTCATTATTGGCTCAGGAGTCTGTCATTGCTTTTCAGCAGAACATGAGAAAATGATTAAGGTTAGTAGGTCTGCTTATTCTCAGGTTTCTCCACAGTTTTTCTTTTCATTAAAATTAAAATGCTGTCCTCTCTTGTGGGTGTCTGTTCCCCTGAAATACTCAACAAAAATATTAATCTTTAAGTATTAACTGTGCTGGCATTTTGAGAGAAAATACTAAAGTGACATCTAAACCCTATGTGAAAACACTAAAGTGAAGGTTGAAAATGATAGCAATTACTAGACTCTTCAATGCAAGGAATATTTAAGATTTGTGACAGGAGGCTTGTGAGTAATTTAGTAGTTAGGCTGCTGCGGATTAAATCAAAGAGGATGTGCAGAGATTTTCTCTAGAACAGTGAGGTGACTTTGGCAGTTAATAGCCCACTAGTATTTCCTACGAAGCTTTTCTCTGGGTAGGAGCAACATTCCACGTTTGCAGTGTTGCAGGTAAGAGACACTGCCAAAGGATCCTCAGTGACCCATGGTCTGTGTGTCTGCCCTTCTGTCCATTTTTAATAGTTACAGTCTGGACAATCGGATTCAAGTGATTTAGTTTCATTGTAATCCAAATTATGTGGGAAATTTTATGGTTTTGAAAGGGATTTTGCTTTCAGGAGCTATTTTTAAAGTATAGAATAACGAGTTGTCATGAAGATAAAATAAAATTGAACATTTCTCCTAGTCCTAATCAGTATTGTGACCCAGAGAAAACTGGCCATTTTTTATAGGCCATTTCTCAGTTTTCAAGTCCTTTTCAGGCTTTGTTTAATAGAAAGTGTCATTTTGAAAAAGCATAAAAGCTGTAGAGAGTGTAGCATTTAATGGTAATCACTACAGTTTTTAAAAGTTCATGGTTGTTAAGTAATGTTTAGGACAAACTCCTCAGGAGTCAGTGGTACTAACACAGCTTCTCAGTTAACCATGGAACTGGCTGTCCTTTCTGTTAATTAATCCAGAATTGCAAGAGTTCTCGTTCTCAAGACAGCAGAACTAGGGAAGTCTCAGACAATTGGTGCAGAAGTCGTGAAAAGGAAGACTAGGATGTGACATCACAGTCTTCTGCCAGGACCTGGTGTCTTTCAGGACTAATGGAAACAAAGGAGGGAAATGTGATTTTACTGCTCGATGATGCCACTGAATACCTCTTTGAGTGTCCAGTTCCCGATCTGTAAAATGAAGGTTGCCTTTGATTACATCGAAGGTCTCCTTCAGCTGCAATGTCAAAGTTTGATAGGAAAGGTCGAAGTCAGTATGACCCGGCGGAGGAGGAGAGGAGGGGCACAGGCCTCCCAACTCCGGCTGCCTCCCGTCTCAGGGTTGGCATCCGGCTTCTCTTGAACTCCCTGTGGGAGGTATCGGCCTTTTCCTTCCATTTCTTGGCCGCCCATTTTCTGTTCCTTCCCAGCGAAAGTTGGGAATATCAAGTGCTTGCTACAACCCGAGCACTGTTAGAAGTGCTGAGGCCACAGCCGTGAACAGGACGAGCAAGCTGTCCACTCCCTGACCCCCTACAGACATGACAGACACAGGGGCTGGACACTAACAGGTTAATGGGTAAGAGAACTGTGAGGCATGGTAAGTGCTCTGAAGATAATAAATCACTATAGTTTTCTTAGCCACCTGGAGGGAGAGATGGAGGGAAAATCATTTTCTGGGCCATTTCTATGCATTTTTGTCTTAGTTGCAGCTGCTAGAACAGAGTACCAGGGACTGGGCAGCTTAAACAACAGAAGGGTATTTTCTCACAGTTCTGGGGGCTGGGAGTCTGAGATCAGGGTGCCGGCATGGTCAGGCTCTAGTGAGGGCTCTTTTCCTGGCTCGCAGGCCACCCCCTTCTCGCTGCGTGCTCACCTGGCAGAGCGCGAGCAGGCTCTGGTGTCTCTTAGAAGGTCAGCAGTGCCATCACGAGAGCCCCACCCCGATAACCCCTTAAGTCCCCATCTCCAGATATCGCATTGAGGGCAAGGCTTCCATCAGTACATATGAATTGGGGGGTGGGGTCGGGGGGTGGCACAATTTCAGTCCATAGCAAATTTATCACAGAAACCTCAGGATGACCAGGCAGGCACAGTTTTCAGAATTCACCCAAGTTGTGGTGATGAAAATTACTGTTTATGCCTGCTGAGAAACTAGTCAAAAGGAGCTTTTTAGAGTACATGAATTATCTGCGTGGCCCTGGAGTTGGGCATTAAATACCGGAGAAGTGTGGCCCACCTGATGATGCACAAACAGCGTCTGGCTTGTTCAATCTGTACTGCCCCACCAAGGATGTGCGAGTTTTGAGATGTCCTTTGGGTAACAGGTTTTAAGAGGTTGCCTGAGGAAGTATGATGACTTGGAGTCAGACCCACCTGTTTGCTCTGACTTCAGCCTGCCTGGCAGACACTCCGTCTCCCTTTTCTGTTCCCTACCCTGAAAGTCCCCTCTAGGAACTAAGATGAATGACACATGCAATTGTTGTGCTAAGTGATTCAGCAGAGGCTCAACAACTGGAACACAGGAAAAGGCAGTGTTTAACCTGATTCAGTGAGGGCTGGGCAGGCAAGGGTGGTGGACAAGGCAAAGCATATGGTATTAAGAAGCATGTGTCTGGAAGATTGTCTAAAATTCTGTAACAACTTTCTGTGTTGCTCTTCTCACTGTCTTAGAATTTAGAGACAATAATGATGTCTTTTTCAATATAGCTTCCCTGACTCAATCCCACAATCTGTCTAGATTCTGGAGAGTGGTTTTCAATCATACTAGATTCAACACCCCAGTCTTTAACTACTAATTTGAAATGCTCCTTTAAAAAATTTCAGATTAATTCTGCATTATCCTATAGTAACAAATGCTGCTGGTGTCCTACCCACGTCCCTGCTGTCTTTACGAATTTGATGCACTCTGGGCCAACCTCCAACTGCCAGCACCTGTACTCACTCTCAGAAAGTACCCATGTAGCAGGCTGCAAGTGCCAGAAGCAATGCTCTTTGGGAACAGCCCTCAACCAATGACGGGTAGCACTGGTGTGGAGTTACCCCCACCTCCTTCTCCCTTGTTCCCCGTGGGATTAAGTTCCAGTTGCCCATAGTAGTTACTTGCTTGATAAAACTTTTACTGGCTTTCCCCCTCTGCCCTGCCTCAGTACCCTACTTCTCTACTTGTGTGTGTTTCTCCTCTTTTTTAAAAAAAAAGTTTTAATTTATTTTTTAGAGAGGGGTAGGGAGAGAGAGACAGAGGGATAGAAACTCGATGTGTGGTTGCCTCTCACACGCCCCCTACTGGGAACCTGGCCCACAACCCAGGCATGTGCCCTGACTGGGAATAGAACTGGCTATCCTTTGATTTGTAGGCTGGCACTTAACCATTGAGCCACATCAGCCAGGGCTTCTAGTGGTGTTTCTTGAGATCACTTTCCAAACAAATCACCTCCCTAGAGTCCTTATCCTGTGTCTGACTCTGGGGGAGACCAAACTAAGACACTTGCCTACACAAAACTTCAAAAAAATCCATATATATATAAAAGAAGAACTAAATTTAAGTGTAGTTGATAAGACATTGCACATTTCAATATATAAATATGGGATACAACTATACCTAAGATACAAAGAAGTAACACATGTTTACACCTATTAAAAATTCCACCACAGATGCAGCAGCTTTGAATGCAGACACAGATAGAGCGGTGTATAGTAGTAAACCCACCCAAACAGTACCATCAATGGCATGATTTTCTGAAATGATGGGCAACTTGATAGAGTCCAAGCAAAACAAAATAAATTAATCCTTTGGTTGTGGTAGTAGTAGTCCAGAAAATTCAGTGTGTTTTAAAACTGTACAAATATACTCTGTATTTATAGAATATGTAAAGAAAAGTTGAGTTCTAGGCTCAGATAATTATAGAGGTTTTCTTCCAGCAACATGGAAGTCCAGTGGGGCATTTGAAGGTTACACAGAGCACAAGGTGATTCTTCATTGCATAGGACAACTTTGTGTGGGAAAGTTCCTCAAAGAGCAGTGGGCATATTCCCCTTGCCCTCATTTCTTTAAGCCGTCCCCTGTCCTGTTGCCCACGATGTAGACGTGATGGCCCCAGGCACCACCTTGGGGCAGGAGGATAAGCACACCACATCCCAGGTGGTGAAGCGATGAGTGGAAAGAACCTATTCTCTGAGAACTTCATGGAGCAAGGCTGCCCAACCAGCCCTGGATTGTCAGCCTCTGGACTTCTACATGAGAAAGATATAAACTTCTATCCTGTTAAGCCACTATTACTGGGGGTTTCTGTTTCTTGACATTAAACCTACCTAAAGCAATATAGAAAATAAACTCTAAGAGTAGGCCTCAGCAGTAACACACAGCTCTTGCAATCGCGATCAACGCCATGAAGAACTGTGGGGCACAATGGGAGGGGGAAGGGCATGAGGTCATGAGGGCCAGGAAGGCTCATCTGAGCTCTTAATGATGGTAAAACCAACTAGGCAAAGAGGTGGGAAACAAACAAATGAAACATCCCTTGTGAAAAAAAGAGGGGAGTAGAGGGAGTGTTTCATGGAATAGTTTTCTCTTTCTCACAGCTGGCGATGGTTAGAGAGTAAGGGCCACAGTGCAAGAATTCTCTTTATCATGAGGACACCAGTGTGTAGCCCAGTGCCTGACCTGTCCAGAGATGCTATGGAAATGCATCTCAGTGCACTGGGAACTTCATGGCCAGCATGATGGAATGAACTGTGTGCTGTCTATTGGTCTACTCCCTAGTCCTGAATTCCGCCTAGAAGCTCGGGCCAGGAGGATGATCCAGTCAGACAAGGGAGCAGATCCGCCGGGTACGGACGTGAAGTGTTCTACGGCATCCAGGCCAGAGAATGGTTTGTGGCTCCTGGATTCTTTTTTGAAACTAGGAAGGTCTGATAATATCACTCTGAATATGTGATCAAATGAGTGGGTAGAAATTCTGATAGATTTATTGTGATTCCTATAAGAAACTTGTACATTTTTGAGGGTCCTATACATAAGTCTAAGTAATTTTCAAGGCAGGAAGGAAAGAAATTGACACAATGTTTTACTTAAATTTAGAACTTCATAACTCACATTCAAAATATCACTGCAACAAATAGAACTTTTATGATAACACTTGTAAAAAAGATCAAGCATTCGCTAAAATCTGTTCAATCCCTTTAATCAGCGGAATCCTGAGACGTGTACTTAAAAACTCACTGGGAGAACAGACTGACGGCTGTCAGAGGGGAGGGAGGAGGGGGGACTGGGTGGAAAAGGTGAAGGGATTAAGAAGAAAAAAGACCTCATAGACTCACACAAAAACTTATTGGGAGTTAGAGCTTTTCAATAACACTTTCAATAAGAATTTTCAGAAAGATTAAACACAAATGACTCTATGAATTAGAGAAGGAGAGTCCAGAAAACAACTAGGTAATTTTGGAATAAGCCAAAGGCTAGTAAGATTGGGGAGGAGGAAGCGATATTGCTCTCATAATATCTCACATCTGTGTACTATGATCAACCATTTCATCTAACGTTAGCGGCACCCCTATGGGAAAGCTAGCACATTCTTGTTTTGCCACAAGGAAACTGGGTTTCAGACAATTGGGTGACTTTCTGAAGTTCACAAGCAAGCAAGTGACAGAATAGGGCTTGAAGGTAGAACTTCTGGCCTTAAATCCAAGGTCACGTCCACTCTTCATGAGCACTTGGGGCACATCCCAGCTGAGCTGTCCTTCACATTTACACCTGCCTTTCTTTTCACCCCCACCTGCCTGCCACTGTGGCTCTGTCCTCTCCCTTTCCTAGGTCTCTCCCGAATCCTGAGGCTTGTGCTGCAAGAGCTGAATCTGTTCTACAGCCGAGATGTGAACGGACTGTGTCTCCTGTACGACCTCCTCCACTCCCCGTGGCTGCAGGCCCTGCTGAAGGTGAGCGCCCTGAAGCTTGCAAGCCTTTGCTTGCTGTGGGGGCAGAAACTGCTCACCCAACAGTGTCGCTTTCGTCAGGGGGCAGGAAATTGCAACTTGAAAGAAGTTCTTAGGAGTCAGTTCTCAGAGAGAGCTATCACACCTGTTAATTTACGAAGGAATTAATTTTGAAGGCAAAGAGTATGGCAGCTCCTTCCTTGTCTCCCCGAGGCCCCCGGGAGCACAAAGCAGACACCACAATGGCCGTGGCAGCGTTCCCAGTAACCACCTGCAATCGTTTGTCCTTGAGGCCAACTCAGGACAAGTAAAAAAGCTTCTAAAAATGTTATTCCTTTCTGTTTTCTTTTTTTAAATCAGGGAATGAGGTCTTATAGTTCTGTTTAGGTATCATAAGTTTTTTTTTTTATCCTGAACATTTCTTCTTCTTTTTTAAATATTGGTTAACACTTCACATACCATACACTAGCATCTACTATCTGACTATAATTTTGATTTTCTGAACAAATGTTAAGAAATATCCTTTAGAAGTTATTTTTGGCGGTGCGGGTGTTTCCTTAAATGGGAAATGTGGTCAGCATAAGCAAAGAAGCACTCCCCACCGCACTCATTGCAGAACTCCCGATCTCTGTTCATTCATCCATCGATGGACACTTGGGTTGTTTCCATGTCCTGACTCTTGTGAACAATACTGCAATGAGAACAGGGTGCACCCATCTCTTTGAAACAGTGATTTCATGTCCTTGGGGTATATATCCAGAAGTGGGATATATGAGGGAAGATATTCAGCCATAAAAAAGAAGGAATTCCTCATGTTTGCAGCAATATGGATGATTCTGGGAGGCATTTTGCTAAGTGAAATAAATCTGACAGAGAAACACGAATAGTATGTGTTCTCACTGATATGGAATCTAAGAAAGCTCAATTTGTAGAACCAGAGTGGAGTGGTGGCTGCCAGGAGCTGGAATGTGGGGGAAACAAGGAGATTTTTTGGTCAAAGGGTACAAACTTCCAGTTTAAGATGAGTGGATTTTGGGGATCTAACACATGCCACGATGACTTATAGTTAACAAAACCGTACTATGTACTTGAAAGTTGCTAACTAAGAGAGTAGATCTTATATGTTCTCACCACACACACAAAATAGTACTTACATGCGGTGACAGAGGTGTTAACTAACCTTAATGTGGTAGCCATGTTGAGATCTATATCTCTCAAAACATATATATATGTTTTATATATACAAAAATATATATAATTTTATATATATAATTACATTGATTTCTTAAACTTATACAATGTCACATACCGATTATATCTCGATAAAGCTGGGGGAACCCCACCTGATTCTTGTCAGGCACCTTCCCTCTCAGGAGTAGCTACAACGCGAGCTGCAGTGTCCCTGAAGGTGCCGCCTGTGCTCTGCACCCCCTGTACCAATCCTCTCGCTTAGTCCCTTCCAGGGAACCTGGAGCGCTGGCACCGAGGTGGAGCCAGGAAGCGCCATCATTCCAGGTCTGGGTGGAGGGGGACCCTGCCAAGCTGGCCCTGGGTCCCCTCGCAGCATCTGTTAGAGAAACCATATTTCTAAACTCAGATTGAGGACTGCCCTGTGGAGCTGGGCAGGCCTGGGTGTGCTCAGCCCAACCCTAGATCCTGGAATGAAAGAAAGTTCCCAAGGGTCAACAGAGACAAAGTTGGAATTTTTATAAATGAACTTTTGCTGGAGAATGAAAGGAGGAGAGAGAAACAAACCAAAGATAAAAGCAGAGTACAAATAAGCACAGAGTGTGTTTGTTTTGTTTAGAACCTCTGGGGAGCCCTGGTCCCATAGCTCATGTCCTGCCCAGCTGCCCAGCCCAGGTCCTTGCAGGTGTCTGGCCCCAAGCCCCCACTGGTCTCAGCCCTAGACACCCCTCTCTCACTTTGTTTAGCAAGAGTAAGAGTTTGAATTTCTTTCAATGGAATCAGTTAGGGAAGACCACTGTCCAATGGCAGCCGCTGGTTGAGCCTTTGGAGCTTTAGAACCTCCAAACTGGACTTCATTGCTCTTTCACAACTAGAGACACTTTATCAAAGGCCAACACTCATGCTGTTCACGTTTCCCAGGCTGTTTCTTCCCATGGAGATTCTTAAATCCAAAATGTCAACAGCTGTGTTATCCACATACCTTCTGCAGGTTTATGACTGCCTCCAGGAATTTAAAGAAAAGCAACTCGCTCCGGCCAGCTCCCATGCGCAGGCGTTATGCTATGAGGTGAGCTGATTTTTGGTTCACAGAATAGTAGAGCTTTAATATGATGCCATTTTACTCGCAGTGCTCATTTAAATGAATTAAAGGCTCCAGTGGAAAAGTCAGATTTATGATTATGCATCTACGAAGTGTTTCTAATTGAGCTTTACTGGAAGGAAGAAAATTGGCCTGCTATCTCCTAAATTAAAACAAATAAAAATAACATTTTTAGCATGTGTTCATTCTCTTTTTTCCCTAAACCTTGCACTCAATTTACCCTGTGTAAACAGGGTAGTGTTATTGTAATGATTCCCAAATCTACAACTCTGCCTGGGCTCTTTCCCTGAACTGTGGGCTCATATCAAACTGCCCCCTCCCCGCCCTTCGCAGATGTTTGTGGACACTCACACTCAGTGTGTCCCACGCTGAGCTCCTGACCGTCCCCACCCCCACCACAGCTACTCCTCTCCCAGCCTTTCATATCTCAGTAAATCCATCTTTGTTCTTGCCGTGCTCAGGCCAAAAGTCCTCGAGGTCAGCTTTGACTTTCTCTTTCTCTCGCACCTCACACCCAGTCGAATGGAAAGTCCTCTCCATTCTAGGAATACCAGCTCTCACCACCTCCACATACCACCTAATGGTATAAGCCATTGTCATCTTATGTAGATATTTGCAACATAGCCTCCTACCTGGTCCCCTGCTTCTAGTCTTGCCCCTGCAGTCTATTCCCAGCATAGCCACCAAAGTGACCCTCTTTAAGGGCAAGTCAAATCAGGTCGCTTCTCTGCTCAAACCCTTCCAGTGACTTCCCATCTCAGAGGAAAGGTCAAAGTCCTTACACAGTCAAACCGAATGCAGCCCCATCACCTCTGTGATGTTCAGCCCCCTGCTCTCCCCCTTGTTCACTCTGCTCCAGCCAGATTAGCCCTTTGTGGTTGTGTGAACCAGACATACTCCTGTCTCAGGCCCTTTGTACTTGCTACTCCCCAGGTCAGAATGCTGTCGCCTGTATATTCACGATTTCCTTCCTCATCTCCTCCAGTCTGCACTCAAATGTCACCTTCACACTGAGGTTTTCCCTGGTCATCCTATCTAAAATTGCAATCCCCTGGTAGCGCTCCCTATCTACTTTCCTTGTTTTATTTTTCTTTTAATCCATCTCACCATCAAATAGAACTGTTTCTTTGACTTGCATTGTCCATGTCTCCTCACTAGAAGGTACACTCTATGAGAATGGGGCCTTCTGCCTGCCTAACTCACTGCTCTATTTGCATCATTCCAAACAGTGCCTAGCACATAGTAGACAGTCAATAAATATTTGTTGAATAAAGGAATAATGTAATCTATTTTATTATCATTTATTGCTCAACCTATATTAAAAGAAATAGAAGGAAAAAAGAAGAAAACTTTACCCTCGATTTCAGTAATCAGCAAGTCAAATTGTGTTTAATTGTCCAATTGTAATCCTGGTGAATGGAGGCGAAGCTTGGTGAACCGCCTGTTTTCATTTGCTGTATGCAAGGGCCCTCGACTGCTAAAGACTCATGGGGCTGATTAAAGTCTGGAAAGGTCTATGCCCTGTCGGAGAGCAGGTCTACACATAAACCACAGTAAAAAGATCAGAATTTATTCCGTTAAGCACTTTTCCCTTGCACAAATATTAAAATTGTTAATCAAATAATAAGCCCTAAAATATAAATTACTATTCCCATTTTCCAAAAGCAGCCTGGAGCATCCATGGGACTAAGCTACCTGAGTTCTCCAGGTATTTGAGCCTGTGCCTGGAGAACTCAGGTACCTCCACCTGCCCATAAAGTCCTCATATGAGCAAACAGATGTTTTAGAGCCACTAGAGAGAAATTGCCTTGGAACATATAGTATCACAAAATGATGTTGGTTCTTTAGAAGCTTAGAGCCTGTGAAGTGCCAGGCCTGGGGCCAGGGGCTTTAGATCTACTCCAAATCTTGAATTCTATCTGCTGTAGCAAAGCTTAATAAATGAAAAAGGGTGGTAGGCCTTGACTTTAATGATGAAAAAGAAGGCTTACATAACAGCTTTTCCTAGGTCAATATCATGCTAGTGAGTATATCTGTTCTGCAGTCTGGGTGCGGTTAACTAGGTGATACAGATTTTATAAAACCTCACAGCATATGCTTTTTCCATCAACCAGGTGGTGGAGATATTACATGCAAACTCTAGCTCCCCTGAGATCCAAGAACTGAGAGAAATCCTCCAGGCTCCACACTTTCAGGCAAGTGCTCGCCATCACAGACACGGCATGCCCGTCTGGTGCGGAGGCAAAGTGGGGGGAAAGAAAGAAACGTGATGGGAAAGTGCTCTTGGAATAGATGCCCTGTAACCGTACACGGGTTACCAACACTGTGTACCAGGACAGGTGAGACTCAGATGTGAGCCAAGCCTGACATAGTTATAAGGAGTCATCTAGAACTTTCCTTATGTCCCCTCTGCAAAGCTTCTAAAATTCTGGGGCAATCAAGGTAGCATCCTTCCTTCCCATCTTGGGAATATTTTAAGTTTTGGATAAAGTATGTGAAGGTATTTGGAAACCACGGTATAATGATTTTCTCTATGGAAGAGGGAATAAGTGAAAAGACACTTGATGTCTGAACAGAAGCCTACCTCTTAATACTTGCAGATTTTGAGATCGATTTATTAGCAAATTAGAACTTGAAGAGAATATCTGCATTTGGAGCCGTGGAATTTGCATCAAAAAGTTTAGTGCACAAGATATAGAATTTTCTCTGAGTTCCGGTGAAGTTCTTCCCGACAACCTCAGGCAGGGCCGAGGGTGACAGCTTCCCCACCCCATGCAGTGAAAAACTTAGCAGAGCGGGTCATTAGAAGGAACTTTCTGGTCATACCTTAAACCGGGGAACTGCTTTTTCTCATCTGGCCCTACATGGGCTTCTGGATGTCACTGGCAGGTTAAGCCTGCAAGGTATTTTGATTACTGCCTCCCCTTCATTAGGGAAAATATTAGAAAAGTTGTCTTTTAGTTCAAAATCATAGGAGCACCAGATGACATGGGTTTCCAGAAAGTGAGAAAGGGCTAGAAGAATACATCTTAACAGAAATGAAAGAATGTGTCAGGTATAACGATACACAGAGCATGGACATGGGTTTGAATCCAGTAGGACATACTGGCTTCAGGTCTGGGGCTAATCATGTAACCCCTCTGATCTTTATTTTCTTTATTAATAAAATGGTGGTAAAATTTACAAAATACATACAACCTCTCTGTGTCTTGTTTACCTGTGAAATGAGGACAATAAATGTCCCTGCTTCACAGAGTTATCCTGAAGATGGAGTTAATCAGCAGAAAATGCTCAGAACTGCACCTGGCATACGTGTTGGTTGTCCTTTTTGCTGTGTCTCACGGCGCATCCAGACACTGTTTTCTAGGTGGATGTGCCCTGCATGGGCCCTATGCGTGACCTCTGTCCGCCTTCTCCTTCTCTGTCCCCAGGCCTTGCTCAGCGCCCATGACACTGTTGCTCAGAAAGATTTCGAGCCCCTTCTCCCCCCACTGCCAGATAACATCCCTGAGAGCGAGGAAGCAATGAGGATTGTGTGTCTGGTGAAAAATCAACAGCCCCTGGTAAGGAAATTGTTTTATATTTTTCTTGAGGATTATACCAGGGCCGATTGTGAACTAATTATCTCTAGTAGTTACTCGGGCCATATTCTTGTCTGAGGTCACAGAGTTCAAGGCATTCAGAAAATGTGGGGGACTCCATAATAATAAAAGCTGATGTATAACGTAAAGATTTTTGCCTGTGGCTCCAAACACGTTACATATAATGTTTTCACTAGGAAAGATTTCTGTTGAGTGTTTTTCTTTTTTTTTGACAGAGCTGTGAGAGATAAGACATTTATTTTATTATTTGGCTTTCTGACCAGTACATATATTTCACTCAATTCCAATGTATTTGCCTAAGTTCTTTTTTCTTCCATTAATAGGAAGCTAAGTAAGGCATTCATTTGATTTTCTGAAAATAGCCTTCACAATTAGGTTGTAATTGTGGGAGGTTTATTTATCTTTAGAAAGATCTAAATATTCTTTTCTGTGGACATGGTGGTTAGATAGAGAACTCAGGGGCCAAGGTTGCAAGGCCTTTCCCTTTTGAGGGCGCGGTGTGGCCCCGCTTGGCACAAATACCCTCATCTGAGAGACCAGAGCTGCACTGAGGGAAGCCACCAGGAACATGGTCACCTAGCTGAAAGAGGGATTCCACTGTGCCCTCTCCCCAGGGAGCTACCATCAAGCGCCATGAGATGACTGGGGACATCCTGGTGGCCAGAATCATCCACGGCGGGCTGGCCGAAAGGAGTGGTAAGCTGGGGTGGCAGGGTGCAAGGGGGACCAGAAAAGTAGAAGCCCCTTCATTGTTTAGTCTCCATTGCAGGGAAACCCCTGCAAGAGGTTGGGAACCTCTTTCCCAACAAGGTTGAGGCTTTAATAAGGGCCGCTGCACTGCTTGGTTATTAAAGAAAGAAGGAATAAATATTCCAGAGAAATCCTCTTCGCCTCCTTCAGTCAGTTCCTCTATTCTAGGCAGCATATTAATGTTCTCTCAGTTTACATTCTCGTAGCAACCTAATGAGGTAGGTATTATCATACTGCTCTATAGATGAGAAAATTGAGGCTTAAACTGATTAGATAACTAAATTGCTCAGTTTGAATCAGAGTTCAAGTCCAGGCTGGCCTCACTCTATGTTTCCAACTTTCATTCTTTACTTGGTCCCTCTGCTTTCAAAAAGGTGTAGCTCTTCCCCATCCTGAAACTCCTTTTGCTGGCCCTTCCTACCAGTGACCCTTTCACTGCTCTGCTAGAAGCAACCTGCTCTATGACCTGCTGCCCTTGTCCTCACTGTCCATGACCCCAGAAACCTGGCACAGGGATTTACCCAACATTTTTAGGGTCATTGCCCCCAGGATTTCCTAGTCACTAAGGCGATTGGCCCTTCCTTCGGCCTTGGTTGTATTTGTACTTCTAGCACATCTGATGTTGTGGAGCACACCTTTCTCGAAATCATCACGGCATCTGTGCCATGGCAGCATCCCGTGTAGCTTCCTCTCTCTGACAGTTCCACTGTCTTACTCCGAATTTCTCAAGGCCTCATCTTAGCCCCCATGTTTCTCCACAGTGTCTCTTTTAAGGTGTTTCCCCGCTTCCTTTTCATTGATCATTTCCTCATGGCCCTGACATCTTCATGTTTAGTGTTATCTTCTTACCAGTGTTCCAGTTCCATTGCACAACAGTAGGTTAGCAAAACTAAAGCTCTTACCATCAGTTAACCCCAGGGTTGTTGAGGAAGTGGAAAAATGCAATGCTCATGCACTTCGATGGTGGCGTAAATTAGAATAACCATTTTTGCTTTATTAGCAGTAGCATTAGTATTTCATAATAATATTTGAAATATTAGAGTGTGCTTGAGTTAGCGAGTTTGTTCCAGTTTTGGGATAGGTACCTCTATTTCTGCCAGTATCTTTGTGTCCTTCCTTGTTTTGTGTTCCTGTTTGCCTAGGTCTATTGTATGCTGGAGACAAACTGGTGGAAGTGAATGGAATTTCGGTGGAGGGACTGGACCCTGAGCAAGTGATCCATATTCTGGTAACAGCCCCCTCTCGGCCTTCTTCATGACTCCGTGAAAGGCAGGGTGAACAGGACCCAACCTGCCCATGGCGTGTGGCTTCACTGTAATGTGAGGGGAGCCTGATCACTCTCGACAGCTTCCTCTCTCCAGACCCCAGAACTTGTCTGTCTCTGGGCGTCCCCCGCTGCCTGCCCGCTCCCCGCCCCTCCACCAACCCTTGGCAAGAGACTTACTTCTCTGCCCAAACTGCTCTTTCTGTCTCAGAGAGCCCGCCAGCTTCCCCACCCAGGGCCCTCGCTACCCGGGTTGCTCCACTGCAAACAGCCCAAGTGGGCAGAGTGAGACTCTGGAAGAAAGTCTGAAGCTGAGCAAACCACCCCATGCTCCCCCAACATTTTTGTACAGCTGAAATCCGCTTGAGACCTTCCTTGAGGCAGTTTGGGGTAGGAAAGATGTCACCGGAGAGCAGCATGGAGAGGGGACATCCTTGCTGGCTCTGCCACTGTCCTTGGTGGTTTGAACTGGAAATTTCTAACATGATTGTTACCTTTTTTTCTTTTTAGGTCCCTATTCCCATCCTTCAAACAATTGCCTGAGTCACAGTCCAGCTGGCAATAACACAGCAGTATACCCCCACCCACCCCCCTCCACCATGCACACCCCAAGTGCAGGGCCCGAGGTTGATCACTGTGTATCAAGTACACTAGTGGTTCTCATGCTGGGCTCTTTGGGAACTTTTTAAAGTTTTGTATGTTTGGGACTGAGAAGAGGTATGGTATTACAAGGAGTATATCGAGTACCTAAATATTACAACCACTGCTGTGAGACTGCATGGTGTACAAGATACTACGAAGGGAGCTCAGCGTGTCAGTCACAGACCCACAGGCCTCCTCCTCGGTCCTGGTGCCAGCTGTGGAGTTGCCAGGACAATGGGGCTGTGAAATTCTGAAGAAGAGTGAGAAAGGGGTTTTGTTCATTTCCGGATCTCCAAAGCTTGTCTCAGTGTGGCTGACAGAGTGATTCTTACCTTCCCTCCTGGGCTGACAGGTTCTCTGTCTCCCCCAAATGTTTAGGGCCCCCCATTAGCTTGGAACTTGTCAGCCCCCACCCCCAGAAGACTTGGGGGCCCCTCATGCTCCCCATTAGACTGGGCTTCCTGGTGCAGAATCAGGAAATGATTACTGACTGAGGTATGAAGAGGGAGTGGTAGACCAAGAGCGCATCTCCTCTCCTGTGGGAAGACCTCGCAGAGTGGGGTGGAACTGGCGGCAGTGAGACAGAGGGTGCCTGCCAGGCCTTGGTGTGGGTCTTAGCAGACCAGGCACTCTGGAACCCCACCGGTGACTATAAAGCAGGGCAGAAGCAGAGCTCACCTTCTTCCTAATTTCCATCTCCGGGTTTCCATTTAGCTGTTGAACTCTTGTCAAAGTCCCCGTGGAGGAAATCACCATTAGACTTGAGCATTTGAGTTGAAACGCCATGTGCTGAATCCCAGTAACTGCTGAACTCTGAGATTTGTCATTCTTCCCCCTCTGACATTTTCTAGGCCATGTCCCGTGGCACAATCATGTTCAAGGTGGTTCCAGTTTCTGACCCTCCTGTTAATAGCCAGAAGATGGTAAGAATTTATTGAGCCTTCATACTCTCACACAGTATATAAAGTATTGCACTACTATTCTCTATAATGTGTTGACTAAATGTTCAACACTGTGTTGTGTAGTTTTCAGTACTGATCACATGAGAGGCAAATGAGTAAATTAATACAATACAAGGACATGATGTACCAAGAAGTTAGGAAGTCACATCAAGAATGGTGAACATTTGAGCAAAAACTCTCAGCACTAAGAGATTATATTCCCAAAGTCATTTTTTCATAGCTCTTAGACTCAGCTCAAGAGGCAAGTTCTTTTTTGTGAGGATGGAGAGGAAAGACAAGAACAGTAGGAGGAAAGGAGGGAGAAATCATTTCGTCTCGAAGGCCCATGTGTGCATGGGTTCTTCTGATAGCGCCGTTATGCACCCACTGTCAGGTGTATGTTCGTGCCATGACTGAGTACTGGCCCCAAGAGGACCCCACCATCCCGTGCATGGATGCAGGGTTGCCTTTCCAGAAGGGGGACATCCTCCAGATTGTGGACCAGAATGATGCCCTCTGGTGGCAGGCCCGGAAAATCTCAGACCTCGGTTCCTGTGCCGGCCTAATCCCTTCTAACCACCTTCTGAAGAGGTAAGAAAAGTTACAACTCCTGGCTTCAGGACTGAGGCATAAGGAAATAGAGCATTGTCTCAGGCTCCTGCTATTGCAGTAAGATAAGATAAAGAGAGACAAGCAGATGAACAAACTCACACATTGGTTTATAAGTCCAAGTGTCAACTTATCCATATGCTGTAAGCATCTTAAATACCAAATGATCATAATAATAATACCAGCTAGAAAAGAGAGAAAACATGTAGGAAACTAAATTAAACTGAAAATGGTAGCTCTGACTCCCTCTGTAAATCTTTCAAGTCTGAGTTGTTGAAACCTCATTTGCTGATTTCAACCCACTACCCTCACTTCTGTGCTATTGAGATCCAAGGGAGCAAGTAAAAGCAGAAAAAAAGATTTTAAAAGGTTGAAGCCTCAGCCCATGTTAAGAGGTCAGGAAGTAAATAAGGAGCTAGCAAAGGACATTGAGAATAAATGACCAGTGAGTTGGCATGAGAATCAACACAGTATGGTATTCTGATCAACTACATCAATTGCTGTTGAGGGTACTGAGAGCTGACCGTTGAATTTAACAATACAGAGATCATTGGTGATCCTGATGGAAGTGATTTTAGTGGAGGGGTGGGGCCACCATCCTAGGGGAGTGAGATTTGAAGAAATTGATGACAATGCACACGGAAAAATCTTTGAGACATTTTTTGGTATAAAGCAAAGCAGAATAAATAGCCAGAGGGGAAAGTGGAGTGGTATGAGAATTTTTTTAGATGGGGTAAACAATACTAGTGGGAATGATCCAGTGAGAAGGAAATTTTTTTATGACGGGAGACAGAGAAGAGGATGAAGAGGGGCAGAAAAAGAGGGGCTGGCTTACGTGGGGCCTCAAACAGTTCACCCACAGTGAGGGTGACAGTGGGGAGTCCGGAGAGTGCAGCAGCGTTGGCGGGATATGGCGGAACTTGTGGAAGTTCTCTTCCAACCGCTCTGTTGTCTCAGTGACCAAAGAGGCAAGGCCATAAGCTGAGAGTCAGGGTGGGTCAGGAGGTATGGGGAAGGAGAGGGGAGACAGCTTGGAAAGCTTCTATGAGAGGTGGAGAACAAAGGGATTAGGTAAATACAGTGTGATCAACAGTCAGGGGTCCCTGAAGGGTAAAGGCCATAAATGTGAAGTAATTCTGGTCAGTTTCCTTGGGGACAGGTCGAGGTAAGACAGAGCTGGATTTAACAGTAAGTCAAGAAAGAGCCAAGTGAGTGACTGAAATGAAGGAATATGATGTGTAAGCTGTTGAGGAGGGAGGTGAGGAGGTAAGGGTCAGTGGAAAGGTCCTAGAAAGGTCAATGGATTATAGGTCCCATGGGGTCAACAGATTATCGGGGTTGGGAAGGTAGGAGGTGTTGGTGAAAGAAAGGGATGCTGGGAATTGAAATTATGGAGGAACTATTGGTTCTGGAAGGTTCTAGGGTATGACAGTGGGAGGCTGAGGTAGAAGGTGGGAAGGGCTTTGGGAAAAAGGAGATCAAGGAACAGAGAGGCCAGGGTGTAATAAAACCATCAGGAATTATGACAACAGTGTTGAGAGCATGAGAGTGAGCAGCAGTAATCTGGGAATGGTTACCAGGAAAGTCGGGGGAGTAACAGTCAGGAGCTGGGGATTCTAGGGAAGAGGGAGCATGGTCTGGGGATGGCCATGAGGAGCAAGGACAGGGACCCCACACGCCCAGCCCATGAGCAGCGGTGCACTGGAGCCAGCTACCAGAGCTCGCCCTGTGCACTTCTCACGTCTGAGGTCAGAGAAGTCAGCGCTGCAGCTTAAAACCAGCCACGTAACAGTACTGTCGCTAGAGAAGTTGGCAGAAGCTACACTTCAGGGCTCCCCTGCCCCAGAGCTGCCAGACCAGCACACCACTAGGAGTGGGAGACAACCCAGTTTTCCTTTGAAAGGTGCAGGGGAAGCCATGAACTCAGAGAGACCTGGGTTTTAGTTAGAGCAAGAATTTACGTTCTCTAAAGAGCTCAGGCAGAGAAGAGGCTGAGTGGAGGCCTGATTTTGCTGGAGGTTTGTTTACTGGAGTTCCAGGGGGCGTGCGAATGGGCTTCAGGGATTAGAGTGTGGAGGATAAGGGCTGACCTGGGCTTTGGGGGCTGAGGACAGGAACAGGGATAAAGGCCAAATGAGATTAGTCCTCCTGGGCTCACGACGGGCAAACAGCGGTGAGCATGCCCTGGTGGGGGTCTTGCAAGGAGCACACAGCGATGGCAGCGGTACTGGATTAGTGAGGAACGACAGAGGGCACAGAGATCCTGTGTCTCTAAAGGAACTGTAGAGGGCATCCACAGCCTGCGAGGGAAACCGGAACATGCTATGAAAATTCTAAGGAGACCAGGGTAGCGAGCCGAGGGGGCAGGGTGCCATGGCTCCCTTCTGAAGTCTGCGGCCTGTGAACTACTGGTCACCCGCCAGATTTTCACTTTCAGTCAGTGTGGCTCCAAAAATATCCCATGAAGCGGCAGCGGGGGCGGGGGGAAGCCTGTGTATTTAGAGAAGGTATTTGACCATATGTTTAGAGAAGAAATCTTTTACACTTGGGTGGAGGCCGCAGAATTTTAGGAAAATTCTAGCCTGGAATCCTGGATTTATTTCACTTGGGTTTACCTGGGTTGATTCTTTTCTCCTCATAGTGTATTTTCCCCCCTTAGGAAGCAACGAGAGTCCTGGTGGTCTCAGCCATACCAGCCTGACACCCACCTCAAATCAACCATCTGTGAGTGTGCCGCCCCCTCGAACCCAGCGTGTGCGCCCTGGGGAAACTGGCTCCCTCTCTCCCAAGGCTGGCTTTCTGCCCAAGGGAGGGTCTTTAAATGTCCCCACTGCCCCCCCCAATAACCAGACAGCCATCTGAAATCCTACCACAGACATTCATTCCTTGGACTTAGAAGAATTTTCAGCTTATGAAAATGCACATGTTCTTGTGTTTGTGACACCTTCAGGGATCACTCCAAGCGAAGTCCTCTGAGATCTCTAAGGCGAGCACACGCATGCATGCACTGGCAGGCAAGGCTGCAGAGCTGCACGCCAACCTTCATACAGGTTCTCTTTAGGGTGGTTAAAGTTTGCACTGTTCAGGAGCTCTGATTAACGGTTGTGCGTGCCTTCGATGAATAAACATGGGACTGAATAATCACCTAATGAATGTAATTTGTTTGCTAGGCAGTATCATCCAGATGCCAGGGGAGGAATGCTTAGTAAAGGGATCCACGGTGGCAAATGCTTGTGAAGGCCTTACTGCCTCACAAAGGGCGCTGCAGCTTGCAGAGCCCGGCTGGAACCCGCAGAGTAGGGCCAGTCAGAAGCGGCCCTCACACAGACCCCCGGAAAGGAGTTATCCAGCGGGATGGGGCGCCTGGAGGAGGGCAAGGGGCACAGAGAAGACAACTTGGCATTGGAGTCAGATTTGACCAGGGAAAGTCCTCACTTTATTTCTCAATTCTCTAAGCCAGAAATCATTTTTTAATCTTTTTTTTTTCCTTGAAGAGATAAAATGACAACTACGGAGACATTTTTGAAAAAAGAAAACACTCTTATAATTCCTCACATTGACTATATTTTTATTCCACCTTCCAGTTTTGAAAATATAGTTTGCATGGTTGTAGTTAACAGCTACAATACCATTTTTTATCTTTATTTTATCTTAACATATTATCAGAAACATTTTTAAGGTATAATTTTCATAGTGATATTTTGGTTGTGTCCCTGTGTTTTGAAAAAGTTTCTTTACCAAACCAGATTGAAACACTTCCTTGATTCATTTTTCTATTTCATTTCTCAAAGACGCATGGAAATGCTAATAAAGTTTCTAGTCAGCACCTGGTAACTAGTCTGTCCACTGGTTGACACTTAATTTGCTCATGTGGCCTGACTGCAATTTTTATCAGAGGTTTTGAAAAGTCCGTCCTGAAAAGAGCTTGCAGACCCTACTACTATCCTCACAGATCTCTGAGTCCAGAACACCAGGGTTGGAGCCACAGGGAGGTTTCGGATGGGGCATGATCATTTTCTAAACTATTAGATCGTTTCTTTTCCTTTTAACTGTTGTAAATGATTCTGCAATAAATATATTTTTTTTTATCTTCCTGCTCTGCTTAAGTGTTACCTTAAGAAAGAGAAATCTCAGGAGCAGTTGACTGAGTCAAAGGATTTAGACATTTTTAGAATCAAGAGTTAATGAAAAATTCCAGGACTATGTTAATTTGCAGATGGTCATTTAAAAGTTATTTACTGAAGAGTCAGTTGGGATTGTCATCCCTTTTTCTTTCCTTCCCTCCTTCCTTCTTTCTTTCCTTTCTTCCTCCTTCCCTTCCTTCTTTCCAGTGAAGACACTAGTTTCTAAAACATGCTATACTAAGCATATTAACTCAGAAGGGAGTAGAGTGCAATGTTTTATAGCTTATTGGGGTGAAAAGGAGAAGAATTTGCCAGAAACAAGTAGACCGCCATTTTTAAAAAACAAGGCTCATAAATATATTAGTTCTATAGGCTATTCACTTATTTTGTTATTAAATCTTTACTAAATTTCTACAGAATAAGTCCAGAATATTAATTACTATAATTTTGGTAATTTGCTTTTCTTATTTTAAGTAAGTTAATCTGAGAAGCTGAGCATAGACTAATATACACATTTTCTCTGTCTGTCTGTCTCTCTCACTCTCTCTTTCTTTGCTTTAATCATTTGTCTGTGTGCAGTGACATCTATGGAAGAAGGTAAGAAATAGTGTTTGGAAAAAACCCTCATCTCCAAAGTCTCCTAGAAATTTCCTATAGTTCTCATTCTGTTCAATTCAGTTCCGCTATTTATTAAGCTTTTACTGTGTACCTAGTAGTAGTATTCTAGTTACTAATACCCTAATTTATAAAAAGATGTCATTCAAAAGAACACACACACACACACAATGTAATTGTCCTAACACTGAGAGGAATGAAAGAAAAGAGAACCAATACTTACAGTGTGCAGTCCCAGAGTCTAACACAGCGCATTGCAAGAATTCAACAAAAGTCATGAAATCACTCCTCTGTTTTGTGTCAAGTGCTTTATACACATTGTTTCCAAAGTAACCCTGTAAGAAAGTATTATTATTCCTGTTTTATGGATGAAAAGATTGAGGTTCAGTGAAGGTAAGAACATTGTCAGAAGTTGCAAGTACTGCAGTCTGGGTTGGAGCTTCTGTCTGTCTGAGGGCCCTGCACCGAGGGCAGGTGGGACCTCCAGTTATTACCTCTGCCCTTCTCTGTGCTCAGACACCGAGGTGACCCATGATGTCCATCACACACACTCACAAAAGCAAGAAAGTCAGGTGCTATCTGCTTGAGGAGAGGAGAAAGAAATGAGAAAATCAGTCCCCTTGGCCGCCACCCGCATTTCATCCCTGACACTGGAAGGGGGATGGAGGAGCATGGGCAGGCATTTGGAGAGGGCCAGGCCTCTGTGGTCTTGGTAGTAAAGAGCCTGCTGTCTTAGTCTGCTCGGGCTGCCATAACAAGATATCACAGACCAGGTGGCTCAAATAGCAGACACCAGTATTTATTTTCTCACCATTCTGGAGGCCAGAAGCTCAAGATCAAGGTCTTCCTAGCAGGGTTGATTTCTGGTGATGCCTCTTTTCCTGTCTGGCAGATGGCCGCCTTCTCTCTGTGTGCTCACATGGTCTTTCCTCTGTAAATGCACAAAGAGAAAAAGAGAGAAAAAAAGAGATCTGGTGACTTCTCTTCTTTTTATTGTGTAAGACTACTAATTCTTTTGGATTAGGGCCCCAACCTTATGACCTCACTTAACCTTAATTACCCCCTTGAAAGCTGGGTCTCCAAATGAGGTTAGAATTTCAACAAATGAATTGGCAGCCGGGGGAGGGCAGGCGCACAAATGAGTCCATAACAGCAGCCCTAGCCAATAGTGTGGAACTACTGATTTTGGGAGAGTACAATCAGTGGCTATGTTAGATCACAGAGCTACCAATGTGAAAAATCAGGACTACTCGTGCTGTACGGTAGACTCACTGCTGGCCTCTGTAAAACAGGAATGACAATGGTAATTTTTGTTTGCCTTAAAAAAAAACAAACCTCTAGTTATGTCCTAGGAACCAATGAACTCATTGTTGTTATAAATTACTAATCTGGAAAATAATCTCTAAATGAATATAAGACATTGAATGACACTGTCAAAAGCCTCAGCTAGTTGCTTGTTTGTCTGTGTCCCTACCTCTATAAAATAGTATTCTTTCAGAAAATCTTTCATATTGAATATTTTATTTTAAAAGCATTAATTAATGATGTGCCTTTTTAAGGTAGTGACAAGTGCCACTTTATAATATTACACTTTATTATAGAGAGTATAATATTACTTTTAGAACATAGATAAGACATTTATTAAACCACTATTTACTGATCACTGCAGGAGTGCTGGTCACTGTCTAGGCACAGGATGTACAGTGCTGAAATAAAAAAGATATTTTTTCAGAATATATATTCAAATCACTGATTTGATATTAAAAGGTAAATTCAACTCAGTTTAATAAATAATTCATGTAATTACTATGTGTAAGACACTGTATGAAGATCAGCAAAGTATGCAAAAGTTAGACATTTCCACTTTCAAGGAGCTATACAGAAGGGTAAATAAGGCAAAGACCCAAATGGTCTATTACAAGGTAGATAGACACACAGTAGCAGAAAGCTCAAGGTTGTAGGAAGAAAATGCCATTCTGTTCATGGCAAGGTTATTCATTTTGATCAGTGTTTGAGATGGAGCTTGATGCATCACAGGCAAAAGGAACAACATAAGTATAGGTGCAGAGGAAGAACCAGCGATACCTTATCTAACAGGAGCATGAGATATGTGAGGAAGAGAAGCCCTCACAGTTGGGTTTGGGTCATGTCGTAAAGCAGTGATTTTCAATCTTTTGTATCTCATGGCACACATAAAGTAATTACTGAAATTCTGCAGCACACCAAAAAACTGATCTGACAAAAAAAGGTATAATTTTTATTAATTTACAAAAATAATAGTAATTATCTACCTTTTTTGCTCCAAAGTGGCTATTTAAAAATTCAGGTGTCTGTACTTGGATATAAGGATTTCTGGTAACAAGAATTAACCAATCAGATGCAACTTTATCATGCAGCATGATCAATAAGATGCAACTCTATTATTTGACCTATATATTTATGGTTCAAGGCAGGGCGTTCACACCTGATGCTACTGTGTTGGCTGTTGCCATCTTTTAATTGACAATCTAAGGGAGAAGAAGTCACTGCTCCTGACTAAATAGTCAGCTATCACATGTTTCAAAGATTCTTGCAGCACATGGGTTGAAAATAGCTGTTGTAAAGAGTTTTCAGTATCAGGATGAATGATTTTTAAAAGTTATGTTCTTTTATTTTCTTATACATACCCAAGATAAAGGTAAAAATAGTTAACATTTATTGAGTATTTACCAGGTACCTGAACTTTTCATGCATTATCTCACTTATTTCTACCCTATACAGTAGGTACTATTACTATCCCCATTTATAGAAAGAAAACTGAAACTTTTCATAGAGGCAAATTATAGAGGCAAATTATAATAATTTGTCCAGCATTCAAAAGCCTTCTGCTTTTCAAATTTTAAGCATTTTATATCATGTAGGTTCCCATATCATATACTTTCATTTAATACAGTGGAGTCCTTTCTATCCCTCTGAGTTAGCAATGGTTGTAAGAGTCTCATTATTATAAGGTGGTCTGTGTTTTATTGGCATAAGCCTAGAGGGACGGATTTTTGTTTGTGGTGCTAACACATTTTGAGTTCTATTTTTCTCTATGTTCTTTTATAGAGGACGACATGAGGATTGACGAGAAATGTGTGGAAGCAGGTACCGTTCTCTCTGTAGAGTTTCTCAAGCAGAGTCAGCCAAAGGGGCCACAGGCCTTCCCGCTGGAAGAACTGTGTGAAATGAATGCCCACCCTGTCCTTGTTCCGTGGTTCTGACACTTGGAAGGGAAGCGCAGCTCTGGGAATGTCTCCAGGTCCAAACCCACCTTCTGGAAATCAATATCTTGGAAACGATCACAGCAACACTTAGTAACACTCAGGTGTTACATTCAGTAACATTCAGGTGGAGCAGCTGGGAACCACCGTGCTCTTTGTGAAATACTATAAAATTATTGAGATCAAATTTTTAAAAAGCAAAATAGGTATTTTGTTACCATTTGATGCCATCTTATAGTGGATTCTAGTGTAGATAAATAGTAGGTTCCAAATTTGAGAAATATATAAAACCTTTTTATACTTCTATACTTAATTTTTTTATAAATTGGGAAAAGATTTTTTTTATACTTAGTGACAGAACTAAGATTGCCTCAAGAATCGCTTGGGTTTTGTTGGGGGACTAGTTGGAAAGCCTTTGTCTTGGTTTTATGGTGCTAAGTCAACATTCCACCCAGTAAGTCTTAAAGATCTTATTGGCTTTGTTCAACAATTCATGAATTGGTGAGCATCTCACCTAGCAGATAGAAAGGAACTCTGAGGAGTTACACTAAACAAAAGACTTTCATGAACAAAAGGGAGTGAGAACAAGGAAGTTATACTAGCAAAGAGTGGAAAAAGCAAAGATTGGTATGCATTTATGCAATCATTTATTAAAGAGTGGATTGGTCCTTTTCCCTTGGGGATGGCAGGGGTCTGTCAGCCAGGAGAGGTCAAATTATAATTAAGGTAAGTCTCAGTTTGGTGATGTGAGGCATAGTATGAGTGACTCCATTTTGGGACTATTGTCTTGTTTTTAACAATAAGCTAAACTAGTTTTTAGAAACTGAAGAACGATATGAAGCCTTTAAATAGTGGATATTTCAAAGGTTCACATATACTTCCTAGACTAACCACAGAATAATGCTGATATTAATATTTGTTTTTCCAAGTATAAGTTATGTTCTTTAAAATTTTTCAGTAATATTCTTTTCCTTTCTATAATTTCAATTTAAAACTTTTATTAAGCAATACTTTCACATATTTCAAATTCAAAAGCCACAAAACTATATTCAGTAAAAAGCTCCTCTCTTTCCCCACTGTCCCCCTCAGTTTTCTTTCTTGAGGCCATAAATGCTCTCAGGTTCTTCCACAATCCCTCCAGACGTGTTCTGTGCATATAAAAGCAGTGATGTATATATATTTTTTCTCCTCTTTTCCACCGTCATCCTCACCTTAAAAAAAATACAAATACCCTTTGATGGTACACTACAGAAACTATTCTCTTCCTGGCGTTTTTACTTAGCATTATATATCTTGGAGATGACTCCATCTCAGTACAAAAAAATCCATCTCATATTTTTTAAACAGTTTCTTGGCTAAGTAAGTATGCATTTATGCAATCATTTATTGGTAGATGCTTGACCCACGTGCAGTCTTTTTTTGTAAACAATGCTACAGTGAATAGCTTTATCAATACTTCATTTCACACATGTGAGTACGCCTTGCACGCAGCAATGCTCCGTTACAGTGTGTGCATTGGTGATGATGCTACATGGCTCAAGCTGCTCTCCATATAAAATCTAGCTTCTTTATCCTTAGTAGCTCTTTAAAACAATAATGAGTGCATTTTAACTGATGAGAAAGTTGGGTTTTATCATCTTTGTCACTTAAACAAGCCTACACACTCAAACCATTCACATACTTCTCTTTGCCACATGGCCCAGGCTTACGGAGCCCCAGTGCTCAGGCAGGGAGTATCCCTCCTACACCTGCAGGCTTCCTGGAGGTGAAGCTGTGCAACATCCTACAGTCTATGGGAGCTCCCCCGACATTCCGCCTTTCCCTCCCGTCTGAGCCTCTTTTTTACTTTATTTATTCTATTTATTTAATTATTTAATTATTTATTTATTTATTTATTTATTTATTTATTTATTTATTGAAAGCTCCTGCTGCACCCCTGCTTGACATCATGGCCCAACTTTTACCACCAGCAATCTTCTTGAAGGTTTATATATGCCATAGAGACACCACTGACTTGGCCTTGATTCAGGAAGAAAATTTAAAAGTTGGTGTGGGTGCAAAAGCATAGGGTCAGGAAATCACACTATGAAGATACAGGTTCAGGATGGCTAGTAATATAATGACACTTTGGGTTTTTGCCTCCATGGAAAAGTACAGATGAAGAAACATTTGAGTCTGGTAAGTAAAAAATGAATATTTGGTACTGTTTTAAAATGTATATAGTATTTCAGATGCTGGTGTAATTTAAACACATATTTAGGGATATGACACAATAATTGTTTAACTTCACCAACAGCTTAGTTGTGAGATGTGAATTTCACCATAACCATTAGGGCCGTTTGGGAACTCTGAGGGCATTTTCAGTTGTCAGTTGATTATGGGCACTACCGGCCTTGAACTGGTGGGGATCTGCAATGCTAGACGTCCTGCTGTCTCTGACACCATCCTGCACAATGTTCTGAATTGCCTGCTGAATGAAGCTCATTACAAATATAAGTGAGCAGTTCATTGATACACAACAGTTATGTAAGCTTTCATAAGACTAACATGAAAAGACTGGTGGTTTAGAAGACAGTTATTATAAAGAGAAACATTTGAACAGAATAAAGATATCATTTTGCAATTACTGAATAATTTATTCCACGCAGTCTGTCTACTCCACTCAGATAGTAAATAAGCTGGAAAGTGAGGTATGAAAACTGAATCAATTATTTTCTTTTTCTTTGATATGTTATTTGTTATTATTGATGACACATGGTATCATCGAGTGTCTGTCCCTCAAAATAATGGCGACATCATTCGTGAAAACAGATCCCACAGAACAGTGGGATCTTTCATTTGCTCCATTTCATCAGCCTATAACGGCTTTGGCATACTATCCCTAGTTCAATTAAGATGATTTCTCTCTTCCTCTTACCATATACAAATAAATGTCCATGTTCAGTTTTGCCTGTCCTCAAAGGGCCAGCTGGAGATGGTGCTGTGTGCATCGGCCCAGGGAAAGGTAAGGAACAAGGAGGCTCAGGCCAGAGGCCACTGCAGCGCCTACCCCCGCCCACTTCCTCCACCTCACAGGACTTCAGCCACTTCAGCCTCTGGTGGATAAGGAGAGTGGAGGCTCACATCAATTCCTTTCCTATAATTTATCTCTTCCAAGCCTCATTTTATGCCAAGCAGAGAGGAGTCTTCATGGATAAAAAGGTTTCAGGGAGAGTCCAGATAAGCAACTTGCAGAATAGGTCACTGTCCCCAGAACAGCAGTCAGGGCAAGTGAGTTTCTGGGGCCCCCACCGTGTGCTGTTCTGCAAAGACTCACGCAAATTACCACTTTCTCCAAGGGGCACACAAATGCCTAACTTGTCATTTGTCTTTATTTGATGGCTGCCTTGATCTTCCCAAAGGCTTAACTTTTTCATGTCTTTTTTTACACTTATCCAAATATCCAGAGGAACTTTCAGAAGGTAATTGTTTTTATTTGCTGGGCAAGTCAAATAAAGCTATGCTTAAGGTCTTTCAAGAGCCTCAAAGTGAATACTTGACATAATAAATTTTAAGACACATGATGTTTTCAGGGTGAAATTAGTGAGGAAATATTCAATTTCATTGAAAATATTTTTAAATAAACAATGAAAGAAATTCAGCTTGATGAATATATCCCTAAGTAAACATTTCCTTTTAAACTTACTGACATATTTCAATTAGAAAACTGTGCTTACTTTACCAGAGATGAAATTGATAAGGTGTTTTCCTTATATCCAATGTTTTAAAATGTGTGTTTTTAAAAAACAAAAACAAAGGTTAAGAAAAAAGATTGTATGTGTCAGTTCATTCTATGAACAAGTGCTCTTTATGTAATTTTTCTTTTTTTTATTTTAATCATTGTTCAAGTACAATTTTCTCCCTTTTACTCCCATTCCAGCCCACCCACCCAACCCTCCCCACTTCCGAAATTTACTCCCATTCCAGCCCACCCACCCAACCCTCCCCACTCTGAAATTTTTCAATGATCAGGACAAAGTTGTATAAGTGAAGAGAAATATATATTAGTAAAAAGTAATTTGGAAATGATATTTCTATAATTTTTTCCTAGAGTTTATGACAATTTTTCTGAGCCCCCAGTGAAAGCAGAGACAGGAGTTTCAAAGCCAGTGGCACAGTTTTCCTCACTCCTTATCTCACACATTCTTGGACAGTATGAAATAATTGGCAGCTGTAGAACAAATACTGATTATACAGAAGGAACTATTTTATACGGGAGAAAATAAAAACCCATCTCTAATAAAGAAGATAATTATAGGGCCCACAGAAATCAATATCTACAAGTTACAGCCAAAGCCAGTTTATCTGTTCTTTTTTTAAATCGGTTTACTCTGGGCATGTTTTAGAATGTGTACCCAATTTTTAAGTTTTTACCGTGATTCAATCTTTCTTATAACCTTACATAAGCCTAAAATAGGTTTTTGTTTCTAACCATGCTAGACAGAATATATTCAGTGTAATGTTACAATTCTGAAGAGTGTCTCCGTACAGTCTGGCACCCGTGATAGGGTGGAAAGTGCTTAGGATGTTCCTCAACAAGCCACTCAGGGCTAACACAGCTGTGCTGCCATCTACTGGAATAGTGTCACTGAGATTTGGAGATAATTTCACGCATCTGTTCTAAGTAAACTTCTCTTCCTCCTCCACCTATTCTGCTCCTGCCATTCTCTGTGTTCCAGACAAGGAGGAATTTGTTGGTTACGGTCAGAAATTCTTTATCGGTAGGTACAGATTAATAAGAGGTGGGTCTTTGTCATTTCCTAAGTTATAGTCATACTAACCTGACATTCTTCTGAAAGCTTGTTTTGCTGATGGACACTTCCAAACTTGTTCCTTGTTCTGGTTTCCCTCTATCTTTTTGCAAAGAGAAGGGCTCCCTTCTCCTTGTGATGTGTTGATCATTTCTTGTTATTCATCTGGTTTCCACAAGATATTTCTTAATTATTTATCAAATATAAATCTTTTGTTTTCTTTCAGACAGTTATATAACATGTGAATCTTACTCTAAAGAGACTAGTTCTCTGACCACTAAACTTAGTTTCTAGAGCCACCTTTTCATAATCTGCCAGCTGGGTAGAGCTTTCTGAAGGACTAGGCACCACTCGTTTAAACCTGCACTGGGCTTCCTCCTCCAGTGGGAGAGGGGCCAGGCTGCAGGGTCTGCCTAGTGTGATGCTGGTTTCCAGGCTTGGTGCTCCTTGGAATCATTGGGGGAGTTTAGAAACGAGACACGGGGCCACCTTTCTGCATCCATTCCAGAATAGTTCATCGCCAAGCCATTGGGTAGGCCGAACAGGATAGGTATCTGCACAAAGGTGGGGAAGAAGCAGGCTGGGATGAGGCATCGGAGCCTGAGCAGGGTGAGGAGGGCTCCTACACAGGGACGATGCAGCCTGGTGCAGGTTGTCAGGGACAGAGTACAGGGAGGAGGCAGCTGCTGTCACACTCCCTGACACCCCACAGCCTCTGCAAAGATGCCCCCCACCCACCACCCCCCAGCTTGGGCTCTGACACTTTCTGCCAGACTGCTGACACAGTCTGTCCCCCGACCCTCTGCACAGGTGCTCTTTGTTGATACAATGAGTCAATATATTGAGGGTAATAAATGCCAGTTTTCTTTGTTAGAGAAAGAGTTACACATATTGAAGGAGGGGGTGGGCATGCCAAAACGAAACCCGTAGTGTTGAATTGGCATTGCAGGTACTGGTGTGAACTCATGGTTTTAACATTATAGATAAAAATGTAGGGGTGTGTGTGTGTGTGTGTGTGTGTGTGTGAGTGATACATACATATAGTCCCTAGCTCTAACTACTGAGAGGACCTAAGAACAGCTTTGGAACTACCAGAAAGCCCTGTGGCTGGGTGGGCAGATTAAGCAGGATTCTGGGAGTTTGGAAATCACAACTAAAATGTCCAGCTCTGCCACTGAACACACAGTTGTGAGCAACCACTGAGCCTGTCTCTGTCTGAGTGTTCCCACCTCCAGGATGTGAGTAATAAGCCTGCTCCACTGTTTCCACCCTGGCCCGAGCCACTAGCCCCCCTTGTCTGGGAGTAGCCCCCTAACTGCTGTCCCTGAGTCTACACCTACTGTGCCTACCATTTACATCCCCGCTTCAGCAACCAGAGGAAACATAAATCAAATCATGCCACACCCATCTCTTGACCATCCAGTGACTTCCCGTCCCACTTCGACCTCAACCTAACACTGGACCAAGGCCCTCTGTGGCTTCCCCAGCTTCCTCCCCAAACCACTTCCTACCACCGGCCAGACTGCTCACTGCCCACAGCTACACAGGCCTCCATGCTGCACCTTCCTCAAGTGGTTCAAGTGCACTCCTTGCTCTGCACCTTTGCAGTTGCTGTTCCCTCAGCCCAGACTGCTCTTCCCCCGATGCCTCCTCAGCTGGCTCCACTACTTCAACCAGACACCTGCTCAATGTCAGCTTTTCAGACACTTAACTGACCCACCTACCTGAAGAAGCACCTCGTCAACTCTCTAACCACCAATCCTTCTTCTAAGCACTTATTTTTGTTTTTGATATTGGTCTCTCCTCCACCATAAAGTGTAAATCGCATGAGGAAACGGGCTTGGTTTAGTTGACCATTGTATGACTAGCACCCAGTACAACACCTGGCACATAGTGGGCCCTGGGTGCCAATTAGAGGTAACGTGTGGGGCGTTTTGTTATTTTTCCTTTCTATTGCTTCCTTTCTTCTAGTTTTAGACAGATGTAACTGTGTTAATAAACACTTTGGAATCTCAGTCGCTGTGCGCTCCTTCAGGTTTGAAGCTGGAAAGGGTATCTCCCACCCTGCATCTAATGTTCTGTGCACTTCCGCCCTCCCCAGCGGGTTTCCGCCGCAGCCTGCGCCTCTGCCGCCGGAAGTCCCACCTCAGCCAGCTGCGCGCAGGTGTGTGCTGTGCCAGCAGCTGCAGCAGCGCACTGGGCGCCCCTTACGAGGAGGTGGTGAGGTACCAGCGGCGCCCTTCAGACAGCCACCGCCTCATCGTGCTCGTGGGTAGGTCCAGGCAGGCCTCCCCCCATCCACAGTGAAGTTTTCCTTCTTGATTCACTGGTCTTGTGTTGGGTGTAGTGGTAAAAGTGGAACTCTTTGTGGATAGCCATGTAAACACCTTAAAAAGTATTCTGTTATGTGTGCGTTTATAAACAAAACATTATTGCATCATGCTTTTATTGTCTACAATTAAATGTGACATGCCATAGTGTATTTGAATTTGCATAACAAGTTGTGTTGTGATGAGGTTGTAGCTGATGGTTTTGTTTGGTTTTGTGTTTATGCCTGTTTAGAACTTGTTCTATAAGCATAGATGAGTGTTCTCCCAGACTGGACCATTAGTCTGTATAAGACAACAAGTTGTTAAGATCTAGTTTTCTAAGATATTTGTAAGCACTTCCTTTAGAAAAATGTCAAAAAAGTCCTGGACTGTAGCACTGGTGCTAAAGAACAAGGCAAATACAGTGCTGGATGACCTGCTTTTGCGACCAAGATCTCCCCAAAGCTGGTTCCTGCAGCAGCAATAACTTCCACCTTACTGCCATCTTCTCTGCGTGTTCCAGCTGTGAGCAAGGCAGGTCTGCATGGAGCAAACAACATGGCTGACGGCCAGGACCAGCTACAGAGTTTGCAGGGCACAGTGCAAAATGAAAATGCAAGGGCCCCTTATTCAAAAATTATTAAGAATTGCAATGTGGCAAAAGAAGAGCATTTCACCAAGTGCAGTATCCTAAGTGTGGGCCTTGTGAAACTGCATGGGGCTTGCACGCATGAAGTCAGCCCTGTCTCCAGTGGCACAGGTGGTGCTGACTCACCTGTCAGGAAATGTGCCCCTGACTTCTGTAAATCACGGGACCTGCCACTGTGGAGTCTGATTTCTGGGATGTGACATGATAGAGACTTCATTTAGAGAGGAGAGGCAGGTTGTCTCAGATGACCTGAAACGAGGCCAGAGAATTCACGCAGGGTCCAACATTAGATGAAGTTTGTTGGGGTGACAGGTTCTGGCAACTCCCCATCTCATTTCTGAATGTTGAAAAAGTGTGGGTTCTTCCACAGGTCACCAGGAAAGTTCCCAGATGTCTTCTGGGGTCATTCCAATTCGCAAGGTGGAAATCTATGTAATTTCCCTAAGAACATTTGCTCTCAAGTGTCTTTAGTAGAAGGACTGAAATTATTTCATCACATAACTACACTTATCCACATCTAATGATTTCTGTATGTGGCTGTTTGTATTTAGGGCCTTCTGGTGTTGGAGTGAATGAACTGAGGAGACAACTTATTGAACTTAATCCTAACCATTTTCAAAGTGCTGTGCCGCGTATGTTTCATTTTTCTTTCATCCCAATTCACATTTTGGTAAAATTTTCTTTGTGTCTACAGGTACACTGAGCTCACTTACTTATGCCATATTGTCTTTGTCATGAAAACATAAGACATGGGGTAGATCTTAAAATTTCCAACTATATGCATTTTAATAGAGGGAAATGATTTACTAGCGAAGCTATCAAAGGGCGATTTTGCTTTTTTTTTTTGCCATTTCTTAACAATCATATAAATGACCTTTCAAAAACACTAAAATTTAGCAATAATAGCTAACATTTATTCAGTACTTACTCTCTTCCTGGCACTGCTCTTGACTCTTGTTTTTTTTTTTAATTAAAATTATAATATATGCACATATAATGTATAAATTTATAAGTATGATTCTACCATACCTGGTGGGAAGAGCTTGTGGGTGCTTCCCCTTTGCCTCAAGGCAAGACAGAGGAATTTAGGGAAACCACTTAAAGAGCTTAATATGTGTTTCCTGCAATTTAGGTGTTGAACTATACCTAAAAAATTCTAAAGGAGGAGAGCTTAGAGGAAGTGACCAATGGCTGTAGTTTGGGAAGTAGCTGCCCTTTCAGAGGCTGTCACAGCAAAAGTGTTGTGATGTTTCCCAAGGACTAGATCCAGGTGGATAACGTGGGAGAAAGTCACCTTGAGGCTGTCTTGGTTTCTGCCCAAGAGGAAGCCTCAGCAGAAAGAGGCCAAAAGCAGACCCTCAGATACTTCAGGGTGTGGAAGAAATCACAAAAGACTAGCTGGAATAGAGATGGATCTGAGATACTCAGCAGTGGGGGTATGGTGATGGCAGGGTTTGCAAAATTGCTCAAACATCCCGGGGGAGAGGAAGAGCCAGATCTTTCTGGTAATGCAGAGTAAACATCTGCCAAGTCTAAAGGAGCCAATGGCAGCCAGCATCTGTTAAGTAACAATTTTCCGGCCCTGCTTTCTCTACCCTCTCTCTGCACTCCAGCCTTGGGGAGTTATAAAACCAGGGGAAGAGCAGTAGGAATGCCATGAAATGGGAAAGAAGTGAATGTTACTTGCTTCTCTGACTTCAGGCTCTCTAATTACAGCAAGTCTGAGCAAGATGTGGGGAGGAGAAACCTAAAATACAAATGAAGTTTGTAATTTTAATTGTTACGTGGGGATGGACTTTAATTATTAAACTGAGATGGAGTTTTGTTATATGACTGATGGACTTTTTTTATTTTTTAGCCTAAGAGTGATCAGCAGAGTCATGGGAATGGTTCGGTTTTTATCGAGGGCCAGGGGAAGGTCTTGCTGCTCAAAAGGGCAGTGACAGACAAAGAAGGAAAACATTGCTTTATGATCACATCCCATAGGTTGTGCTTTCCAAGTACTGTTTGCATGGGCATTAATCTCAAAAACAAACACTACAAAAACAAAACAAAACAAAGCAAAAATCCCTGATTATATGTATTTTAATAGAGGGAAATGATTTACTAATGAGGCTATCAAAGGGCAATTTTATCCTTTTTTTTTCCCATTTCTTAACAATCATATAAATGGCATTTCAATTTCAAACACTAAAATTTAGCAATAGCTAACATTCATTCAGTACTGATGGGTGTGGCTCAGTTGGTTGGGCGTTGTCTGGCAAAGCGGAAGGTCATGGGCTCAATTCCCTGTCAGGGCCCATGCCTAGGTTGTGGGTTCAGCCCCAGGTTGTGGGTTCAGACCCCATTTAGGGTGCATATGAGAGGCAACTGATTGATGTGTCTCTCTCTGTCTCCCTGCCTTCCCCTCTCTCTAAAAATCAATAAATCTTTAAAAAAGCTACCAAAAAGTCACTGTATTTTGATAATCTGGATGAAAATAAGATGCTCACAGAACATTATAAGGAGTATGGATTGTCATCATTCAAAGTGAGAAACTGTTGATCATATTTTGCTTTTTAAATTGATTGGTTTTAAGTTTAAAATGAATACCTCAGGTTATGTAAACACCAATTCACCGACTTCAATATACCTTATAAAATGCACTCCAGTGGGAGCCAAGGAGAAGGGATCATCATGGGTTTATATTAACATAATTTACTATCACTGAGAATGACAGTGTTTTACTAGAATTTTGTTTTAGTACAAAACTATGGGACAAGTGGCATAATTGTAGCAACTCTAAGACTCTGAAGAAAGGTGTGAATAAAGAAAAAACAAAAATGACCCCCAGATGACATTTGCTTTTTGAGCCTTTTGGATGTCCTTAACTCCTTTTATCATTTAGAACCTTTTTAAAGCTCCTACTATAGATCAGGTGTTGACCTTTTTTATCCTTAAACTTTGTCAAATGCAAATACACAAATACTTTATGAATAACGATAATTTGTTGTAATGCCGATTAAAAGACCAGCTTTGCAGCCTGTATAGGACACAGAGTTGGAACTGTGCCTTATTTATCTTTGTGTTGTGAGAACCTGGCATGGTGGCTGAAACATAGACACTCAGTCAGTATGTGTTAGTTGACTAAATGGATGAGCAGACAATGAAGCCCTTTTAGGGATTTGGTGAACTCCTATATTCTATACCAGGTGCTACTTAAGTTGAAGACTATAATCAAAGTGGTCATATTAACAAATTAAACTAAATTCAGACTCCACCGAGCTTTCCCTTCTAGAGATCCCTAAAACTAATCTCCATCTTCACTTCATTTTAGTGCATGTAGGCAAGACTGCAGATTGTCATTCTCTTTCTCCATTTCAAATCTGAGACAATCTGTGTTAGCAGAAAAGATTAGTGTAGGGAGAGTCAGAACACTGAGGTTCTTGTTTTTGACTTTGCTTTTTATTAGTCAACATATGTGAGCAAGTAAGTTGCTCTCTAAAATCTTCAGTTAACTATGGTAATAACACTTCACCTCACTAGGAGAGATGAAATGAGGTCTTATGAAATGCACTATCTAAAGCTAAGATATTGCTGGTATTGCAGCCTGGGAGCCTTTAGGTGTCTTAGGGTTCACACATAATTAACTTAACTCAGAGCGACTGCTCCTGTTCCCTTAGGGCCTCCCTATCCTGGCTTAATACCTAATGCAAACTTGTCCACACCATGATCATTACATAAAGGTTTACAGGTTAAATAATTTTTATATGAGAACTACTTTCTTATCACCAATTCAAACTCCTTTTTGGTTCTAGTATTTTATTTATCTACCTGCATATATATTCATTCATTTATCTTGATTGACCTTTTTTATCCAAATGCATATTGGTAATGAATCAAAACATTTTGAAGACTCTAAAATCTTTTGGAAAAATTCACTTTTTTGACAGATACTACTCGTTCCAAAAAGAGTTATGAAATGGATGGACGTGAGTATCACTATGTGTCCAAGGAAACATTTGAAAGCCTCATGTACAGTCACAGGTAAGTTAGGCATTCAGAATCTGATTCTCCCCTCCAGTTGTTTTACAGTTTATGCACTGCCCAAAGCTTCTAAGGTTACTTATCTTTGTTTCTGAAGAAATAACCAAGGAAATGTAAATAGATACAGTAGTATACCAGTCCCTGGGTTCCGAGAGGGCACAGAAGCGAAGTGCAAATTTTAGAGAATTGGGAGAAGTCATCATGATAGTCCTAGATCTCTGAATATTTTTTTTCTCCTGTCAAATATCTGCTAACTGTTTTCATGTTGGCAAAGTCCGATATTTCATTTTATTCTGTTGGAGTTTATCTTCATGCTCCTACTAATAATACTGTGATTGTAGAGACAGTTCTTGTTTTCTCTGTCCCACCCTTGCAGGATGCTCGAGTACGGTGAGTACAAAGGCCACTTCTACGGCACCAGTGTGGATGCCGTTCGCGCTGTCCTCGAGGAAGGGAAGATCTGTGTCATGGACTTAGAGCCTCAGGTGGGTCTGTAGTAGACTGTTTTCCATCTTCCCAAAGGAACGAATGTATGCCATCCATTTTGTGCACATTCTACAGGCTTTATTCTGTTGCTGTAATCCTTTTAAGGATAAGACCACTTCCCATGTCTAAAGGCCAGGATATTATGTAACGGATCAATTGCCAATAGCTTATCTTTATTTGGGGAAGAAATTTAGTTTCTCAGGCACAATAACAGAACTGAGCAGCTGGCCATAAAGAAAACTTAGAATCTTGCTTTGACCTTGATCACAAAAGCATCAAGGTAACTTCTTCTGGAGAGAGTAAGATGTTGCTTTCCACAAGGAGGTGAGGTTCCCATATTGCTGTATCTATAGCTACCTCTCCAAGATTGTATGGGAAATGGAGCAGGAGTGAGCAAATTAAGGTAACATAAAGAACGTACAATGTTGGTGGCGGGCTGTGAGAGCTTGGGCCCTGGACCTCGGCGGCCTCGTGGGCCCTGAGGAAGAGCTGTTTCCCTCCTCTGTGCAGATTCGGTCCTCCCAGGAAATCTGGCCATGACTGGATAGGACCCCCACATAAATATTTAAACCTCCATCCCACTCATTTTCATACCCATGAAGATGAACCACCACCACTACAAAAGCTCAGAGAATTAAGACAAGAAACACAAGAATGAAACCAATCAAGTTCTGGGCAAACCAGAATTTGACTTTCTGTAAGAAAAAGAAGGATTATTCACTCAAGACTAAAAGCTAAAGGCCTGTAACTGAGAGCTGGATGAGGTAAAAAAGCAACATTGAATGCAGAAGAAATTATTGACTTTTACAAGGAATTTTTAAGTGAAAATTTTCAGAAGAATGTTTATTATAATAGAGACTGGCACAATATGATTTTGCCATCACCTTCTTCATGGGAAGAGTGGTGAGGATTTGGAACAAGGTAAAATTGAAACAAAGCGACCAGCAGATAGGAGCCTGCATGGACCCACCCACCGCTCTCGAATGCTTCTGAGAGAAGTGGCTGATTCTAAGGGCACATTTCATGAGGGATCTAAAAGTCTGTAAGTGATCCAAGTCCTACCCCTCCTTCCTGGGGCCCCTTAACCTATGTCCTTGTAGCACCCTAGGGCAGGGAGAATGTGGGTCCCGGTGTACCAGGGGCCACGCGGCTCTGTCCTAGCTGTGGATTCCCAGCTAGCGCTGGTTCACAGAAGTGATACAAAAAAACCCAAGCACTGTGTGCCTGTTTTGTTGTGGTTTTGAATTATACTAGTTTGAAATAGAATATGAAAATATGAGTAAAACTTCATCTGAAAAGTTGACTCCTCGGACGGAAATGATTTGGAAGCTGCTGCGGTGTCTCCAGTCCTCAGTAATCATACGCCAGAAAAACAGCTGCCCTGGGCCACCCTGGGGACAGACTTGGAAGCAGGAGCAGCTCCTCTGTAGAGACCAGGTGACAGCAGAGGCACTTCAGAGAGCTTTCCTCTGTTTCTGCCAGCGAGGTCGTAGAGCCTCTGTTTCCAAATAGTGTGCACTGGACTATGTTCCTCTGTTTAAATTCTTTTAAAATCAGCATGGTTTGATAAGCTTGTATGGTTATGAAATGATGAGGTTCTTTGAACTGCATCCTGGAGCCATGTGGCGTGGCAGGCCGCGGCCTGCAGGAGGGGACATACTCCTCAGCAGCCTAACCAAAAGCCCCCTGGCGAGCCGTGTTTACTCCAAAATGAGACATTAGAGTTGGAAGACTGGATTTTTTTTTTTTTTTACGGCTTATAAGCTGCCACCGATTATGATTTCCTGAGAAATTCGGAGGGAGCTCGTCATCCCCCATGAGCCCCTCAAGGGCTGTGCAGATGAATGAGGGTGAGCGTGAGCACCTTGTCTGCGAGTGTCCGTGCGCCGACTTGGTCAGGTGCAGTCTTTCCTGGAGACGCTGCTCTACTTGGGGCGGGCTTGCTCCCTGGTCTGTTAAGCCCGCGGGGGGGTGGGGAGTCCACGCACCAGACAACGTGAAACACGATTTCACGGAAATGACCCTGTATCATTCGCTCCACTACTGTTGCTAACCGCAGATTCTCAGCCTGTCACCAGCGTGTGTGACACTGTGTGCATCTGCAGAGAAACGAAGGGAAGAGTGATAACCAGCAGGGTTAGGGGGCCAGATTGGCATTCCGTGTGGGCGAGCCCAGAGGGCAGGAGCTGTTTCCTAGCTTTCAATCCCTCCTCTCATCCACTCAAATTCACCGACTGACTTCAAGATCCTCGTCTTCTCTCTGAGTAAAGGGACGCTGGAATAAACAGCAACTTCCACTGACTGGCATCCATTCTAATTCTTTTTGCACATCAATTCTTCAGAGACCTTGGCAGTGACTTTTCATAGTAACAGCAAAAGACAAGTGGCTCGCCCTTGGAAAGGAAATTTGTTTTTGGAAGGTGAACTCCAGCGTGGGCGGTAAAGGTGTGCGCGGGCGCACTCCCCGCGACCTTACAGACCGTTGAAGAAACGTTAGACTGTTTCACTGCACTGCCTTGGTGGTGGAGGGAGGAGCTGGAAAGGGTGATGTGTTTGTAAACTCTGGAAAGACTGAGCAGCCGCAGGAGTTGTGCTGTGCATAGGCTTTGCAAACGCAGGGGTGTGCAGAAGCACACTTAGCGCTGTGGGGATTATGTTGTCTGGGGTGTTCGCCTGGCACCCAGGTAGCTTGTTGGTCAAAACCTTGAGCAGATGGATCCTTCCACTGGAGGCTTGGAGCCCACAACCTGGAATTACACCATACAGAAGAGTCTGCCAACCATAGCCTCCAGTAGCTATGGTTTAAAACACTGGTATTAGGATGTTCACAGAACTGATTGAATTCAGTAGCAAAATGAAGGAAGAAATGAAATATATAAGGACCAACAGTGAAGAGAAGGAAACCAGGACTCAAATCAATGATTTGGAACAAATAAACACTCAACTGAAACAGAATGAAGAAACAAGAATTCAAAAAAATGAGGAGAGGCTTAGGAACCTCTGGGACAACGTTAAATGTTCCAATATGCAAATCATAGGGGTGCCAGAAGCAGAACAAGAACAAGAAGTTGAAAACTTATTTGAATAAATAGTGAAGGAAAACCTCCCCAGTCTGGGGAAGGAAATAGACTTCCAGGAAGTCCAGGAAGCCCAGAAAGTCCCTAAGAAATTGGAACCAAAGAGGAACACCCAAGGCACATCATCATTAAGTTACCCAAGATTAAAGATGAGGAGAGAATCTTAAAAGCAGCAAAAGGAGACAGTTACTCCTCCTACAAAGGAGTTCCCATTAGACTATCAGCTGATTTATCAAAAGAAATCTTACCGGCAAGAAGGGGCTGGAAAGAAGAACTTATATGTATGATCCATGGACATGAACTAAAGCGGGGAATACTGGGGGGTTGGAGAGTGCAGGTCAGAGGAAGGATAAAGGGGGGAAAATTGGGAAAATGGTAATAGCATAATCAATAAAATATACTTTAAAAAAAGAGAATCAGGGGACAATAAGCTTGTTCTTACTTGGGTCAAAACTGGTTTCGGTGTGAAGAGTTCAGTGGTATCGATGGCAAGAGGTGACCGACCCACCATGTGAGTCTGCCTTGGCCTTTGTCCTGTGAGATCATATATAGAATCCTATTCTCAAATTTCAGTAAGGGTGTCATGGCTAGTAAGAGGAAGAGTCAGGATTTGTAGTAAGTTTTGATTCTAAAACCCCATCTCTTAATTATTAAAATTTTTTTTAGAGGTGAGAACTTAAGGGTACACGAGAATATACTCTGGCTAAAAATAATTACTAATTTCTGGTGTTAGAAATTTGGCAAACATTCATGTTGACTCTAGGAAATTATTTTGACTTCTGTTTTGAAATGTGCACTTAATTTTTCTGTGTAGGATATTCAAGTGGCTCGAACCCATGAACTGAAGCCCTATGTCATATTTATAAAGCCATCTAACATGAGTTGTATGAAAAGATCTAGGAAAAATGCCAAGATCATAACAGACTACTTTGTGGACATGAAGTTCAAGGTAAGACACAGAAGAAATGGATAAATGCACTTTTTCTCCTAGTCAAAAATCACTCTATTGTTTCCTCAGTGTCCCTTTGTTATGGGATATAATTTGTTTCTAATGAATAATGCCTTTATAATTTATTTTCTCTGGATACAACTTATAAATATTAAAATAAAGTTTAATAACTGCTATAATGCTACTCTTATTTTTTCCTTCTCTTTGGGTGGTCTAGCTCTAAAATAAGACCCTCAAACCACAGTTTGCAGACCCACACAGAAACTGGGTGTGTACAAGCCTGAAATTTGTATTTAAAATGAATTACTTTGCAAAAAAATTTGAGAATTTACTTTTAAAATGCTTTGGTGGCCCTGAGCAGTGTGGCTTAGTTGGTTGGTCATCGTCCCACACAGCAAAAGGCCTCCCGGTCAATTCCCGGTCAGGGCACATGCCTGGGTTGCATGGTTCCTGGTCAGGGCATTTACAAGAATGACTACCTGATGTTTCTGTCTCTCTCTTTCTCCCTCCTTTACCCTTTCTCTAAAAACAAATAACAAAATCTTTAAAAAGAATAAAAATGCATTAGTGAATATACCTATCTGATCTGTAATTTGAGGTATCTTTATACATATTTCTAAACATAAAACATTTTATTAATGATGATGCTAATAACAGAGGGGCCAAGCCAGGTGGAATTAATCAGAGAACTCTTCCTAAAATAGTTTTATATGTATATTTTTTCATTAAATTCACTTTAAATATTTTAAGTCATAACATATATTCAACAAGGTGTATAAATCATAAGTGTACCCCTCAATGAATTTTTACACCCAGATAACCATTGCCTTAAGATATTACATCCATTTATTTTTTGTATGTGTGGTAAAGAAACTAAATAAACCACATAACATAAAACACAAAACTTACCATCTCAACCATTTGTAAGTATATAAGTCAGTAGTTTTAAGTATATTCACATTGTGAAAAATACCTCCAGAACTTTTTTCTCATCAAAATAAAAATTTTGTCACACTTGAAATGTGACAAATTTGCATCCTATCTGTGCATAGGGGCCCTGCCAACCTCTGTATCTTTCCAGTTTTAGCATGTGTGTTGCTACAGTGAGCATGAGATACCTTTGACCCTTTATTACTTTTAATCTTCATATTTTTTGATGATTGCTCTATGAAAGTCTGATTCTCCAATTTGCATTTCAGAGACTGGAGTCCATGGATATATTTTCTGAGTCTGAGTCTATGGGCATTTAAATTAAAATTATATTCTCATGTCTATGGCAATCTAAACTAATTAACAAAATTACTTTTGGATCATGAGTATGGATACCTCGTAAAGGAGTATTGCCACAAGATTTCAGTGCCTACATTTATTTATGGTTGCATTGGCAACAAGTTGTACTGTTGTAAATACTATAGTACATATAATAGTATTGTAGTATTATAAAATACTATTGTAGTAATCGTTATGGACAAATAAGAAAATAACAGCATAGATTTAATTCATTAGTGCTAAGTGAAGGCCAGATGACCTTCCCTGAATGAACATTTAACAATAGTAGAAATAGACAATATTACAGGTAAATTAAGTCATCATGAAGTAAAGTATAATCTAGGTATACCAACCTCAATAGAACATGTCATACCATTCTCATGTTAAAAGTGACCATTTTATATCTGCAAAATATTGCCATTCTTATCAATTATATTCTATTTTAATGTTCACTTGAAATTTATGTTTGCCCTGACTGGTGTGGCTCAGTGGATTGAGCACTGGCCTCTGAACCAAAGGGTCACAGGTTTGATTCCCAGTCAGGGCACATGCCTGGATTGCAGGCCAGGTCCCCAGTAGGGGGCACATGAGAAGCAACCACACACTGATGTTTCTCTCCCTCTCTTTCTCCTTCCCTTTCCCTCCATCTAAAAATAAATAAAATCTTTTTTAAAAATTATGTTTAAGTTTTATGTATATTTAAGTAGTAAAATTTTTTTGGTTTTATGTTGTATATATATGGTTTGAGAGCTTCAAGTGTTTAGATAATAGGATAAGATAACATCATCCAGATGGGAAGTTGAGAGGATTGGTCTGTCTACAAACCATTACTTAATTTTGTAAAACCTTGACCAGGGAGACATATGTAAGACTAAAGATAGAAATATAGGTTTTGTGATTTAAAAGAGGATATTTATTTGACCTAATTTTTAAATAAATAGTTTGAAAGTGGATGTAACAGCATAAACTGCATATTATTTCTACTTGTCTCATTAAGTTTGTGGTATTTGTATTTTTCTGCTTCTCCTGAAGGATGAAGATCTGCAAGAGATAGAGGATTTAGCCCAAAAAATGGAGACTCAGTTTGGCCAGTTTTTTGATCACGTGATTATCAATGACAACCTGCAAGATGCATGTGCCCAGTTGTTGTCTGCAGTTCAGAAGGCTCAGGAGGAGCCTCAGTGGGTACCAGCAACATGGGTTTCTTCTGGTACTGAGTCTTAAGGGCTTCTGCTTCATGTTGGAGTCTTAACAATGTTCATCTGTTACAGAGCTCTGGAATAGCTGCAATCTAAAACAGCACTATATGCCCTATTATAATGTATGCAACTTTAAAAGTCCCACAGTTTATTAATTAATCTTACTTGAAAAAAATATTTGCATTGTATGGTTATGCAGAATTACCTATTTGCCTTTTAGGGGGAAAAAACTTGTTTTCCTTTACTTTTACAGCATTTGGCAGAATATGAACAAGGTCAAGTCACTTAGTTTGAGAACCTTTCATTGATTTCATATAGTCTTTGTACGACTCAGATAAAAAGAGCTTTCCTAAATAAAATAAGTAATATTTAATTTCAGAAACTGTTTTACCTCATGAAACTTGTTTTATGAAAATGATTTATAAAAATTGCTTACTTGACTACTTCAGCAAGATGTGGTTTAATACACATAATTCACATCTAACATCAAAATCCGAACACACCGCACTACCCTTATCATTTTACACATCAGGCTACAAGAAAAAAAAGTATTCTTCTGATCAGAGCTGTAGCAAATCATTAATTTTCCTGAAAATCGATATCTACTCTTATGCCTAAATTAGGACAGGGCAATGAATTTTAGCCCTAGAGACCAGTATCTGAGCAAAGCACAAGATGAGGCTGTTACTTCAAGAAGTCTTGTTTTTCCTCCTTAGGACTGGGACTTCCAGTCCCTTCCTGCCCCTTGCATCTACTGCATTTTCTCCATATCCACGCCATCCCGCACCCTTTACTATAAAATAGAGGACATGCTTCAAAATATTTGTAGTTTCTTACTAAAGTGAATATTATCTTTCTTTAAAAAAAATCAAACAAAACGAAAATTAAGTCATTTTCAGTGAAACTTTGTGAGGCCAGACCTGATTTTATGTTGTGCTTGAGAAAAAGGTTTTCCAAGGGGTAAGAAATTGGAGAAAAATCAACACCGCGCCCCCCCACCCCCCGCCGCTTCTGAATTGTAACTTAGTCCTCGGAAACCTGGGAACTCCGGGCAGGGCGGAGGCAGGCGGAGACTCAGTCCCGGGGACCGTGGCCCAGTTCGGAGCCGCAAAGTCCCCGCCTCCTGCGAGTCTCGGAGACCGCGGCGTCGCGGGGCCCGCGGCGGTTGCGCGGAGGAAGGCCAGCGGGGAGAGCGCCATGAGGGACCACTCTGGGCTTCCACTGGAGGGCCACCCGGTGAGCGGCGAGCGGCGTGTACCACGAAGTAGTGGCCGGGTAGGAGGGTGCAGCTCTAACGCGGCAGCTATCCCTGGGGCGGGGCCGACGCTAGCGCGCTGGGATCGGAAGGGGAGAGGCTGGCTGGTGGACTTGAGCTAAGACCCCATTCGGCGCCAACGGAGTTGGATTCTAGCCAAGGCTGTAAATTCATCCCAAAGCGGAGACCCGAACTTCGCAGCCAGGCGTGAAGTTTCCCTGGCCCGGTGGTGCTTGTTGCCATGACAACGCCTCCTCTCACCGTCGCCCCGGCCCCTGCTAGTTCCCAGCTGCCAGCGAGGCAATTCTGACTGACTCCTCCCGGAGGGCATTTGCCCGCCCGCGAAAGAGATCGCTTTTTGCCAGCGGAGACTTTTAATCTTGGTCTTCTCTCACGTTTATCGAACAAATCACTTGGGAAACCATGGAGAAAACCGTGATACTACCCCACTCCTTCTGGAGTCTCCCCTTCCAGACTCCTAGCCACGACTCCGACGCCCCTTTTCCTCTTGGGGCAGAACTAAAGGCCAAGCCGAGAGTGGGTGTTCCCCCTCGCTCGCAACGCACTGAGAGGGGGCTGGGGGCTGCGGGCCGCGGGGCCCCGGCGGCGCAGCCCGATGACGCATTGCGCCTGCGCGCGGGGCTAGCCCAGGTGGGTTTGGTCGCTCCCGGGGAGTTTGGAAAGAATGGGAAAGAAGCAGGTGGTAAGCGAGCTTTAATTACTTTTAAGTTATGTGGATTTTGTGTTCCGTTGAACCGTTCTACTTCCGAGAGGTTTAAAGTTTGGGTCTTTGGATGGGTGGTTGGCGATTTTTGCGGGACTTTTGAAATGTGGAATTGGGTGAACTGAGCCTTGCGTAGAACGCTGTTCATAGCATCTTTAGAACAAAAGCACTGTCATGTAACTATCGTACGTTCCTTGTTGCAATTTTGGTTACAGGATAGTGTTAAGGCAGCCTGCCTTGCCTTCATCTTGTAGCATTTATATTAATACACAGTTTAAAGGAATGGATTGCTAAATGGGAAAGCTGCAGAACTACAAGAATGTCTAAATTTTAACCCTTTTGAATTAGTATCTCTGCAAGCAGCATGAGATACTTGGAACATTAAGCTAATTTCTAAGCATTATTGTTAGTGTTTTATTTTGGAAGATTCCAGAATACTTCTTAACTATACTCTCACTGAACTGCAAACACAACTCTTCTTATTCATGTGAAGTGCGGCAAGAGTCTCCCCCTCCCCCGATTCTTTCTGTTTTGAAATGCATTCTTCATCCTGTATTCAGAGCGATCTTTTCAAAAAGTATGTTACTGTGTGGCTTAGAACCTCCATTGGCTTCCTACTGAATTAAAACAAATTCTAGATTCCTTCCCTCCGTCTTCCAGGCCCTTATTAATTTGGCCTCTGCCTACCTACCTCTCCTTGGGAACTGCTGCAGCCTTACTCCTTTTACCTGGAACACTCTAAATCTATTCTCCCCTAAAGGCTTTTGTATTTGCTTCCCTTTGTTAAAAATGTAGGCTCTTTTTAAAAATCAGTTTTCAGTTCAGATATCTGAGAGAGACTTTTCCTAACTAAAGTAGAAGCCTGCATCCTCCCCCATTTATTACTATATATATATATTTTTTTCAACTACTAGAATGTAAAGTTTCATGAAAGCAGGATCCTTTGTTGTGTTCATTAATGTATCCTCATTAATGTATCCCATTAATGTAAGTGCTTAGAAAAGGGCCGGGCCTGTAGATAAAAAGGCACACAGAAAGGAAGGAATTTTATATGAAATTTAGAATAGGTAGACAACATTTAAATATTGCCCATTCGAATCTCATCAGTACCTCCTGGATTTCACTGATGAACAGGGTAATCACAAGATCCGAACTATCTGATGTAAAGATGCTCTAGGCTTTTACTTACAAGTAATTTTCTTTTCTCCATAGCGTCCTCCACGAGCCCTTCCACCTGTGCCAAGGTAAAAGTAATTTACAGTAATTTTATCATTTTTTCAAATGCAAAATGAATATAAAGTGAAAAATTGACTACCATTGCAAAACTAAATACTTCAGAAAAGACTTCTTGAAATTTTTAGTAAAAGCCTTCTTAACAGTTTAAAGGTGAAAAATCCCTGAATCATTAGGATGACAGTTATAGTTAAATGTTCAGTTTCAAAGCCGAATGTCAGAATAATGGATCCATTCTGAATGTTTGTCTTGTTTGTCAGAATTCTGACCTTTTGTTAGCTAGGATAGTTCCCTCTGAGTTTAAGCTGATTTTAATGAGTGACAAAGTAAGAGTTCTTAATCTGTTTAATCCACTTTATTCATAGGTAGTAAGAAATATGTACATGTAGATTCAGAAAATATTGGGGTTTTTATTTGCAGTCTTATTTAAAAAGATTATTTGTAAATAAACTAATTTGTAAACTAGCAGACTTTGTGTGAAAGCTAATTCTATTTTAGATTTGTAATTATTTGTAAGTCAGTTTTCAGTCTGACAATATAATAGATTTCTAATTAATAGAGTTTTTTTTGTCTTTGCCCTGTTAAATTTGGTCGGTGTCGTGTAAAGTGATACTAAAGGTGAGTTAGTTCACTGTTAATGTAAAACTTTCTAAATGTAGTATTTGATGTTTAAAAATTTAATTTATTAATGTTTCTCTTAAAATTGAATATGAATGGTGTAATTTATAATACTGTAATATCTTTTTATCTTAATAATCTATGGCTGCCTTTTTTTTTTTAAGATTTTTAAAATTTATTTTTAGAGAGGGAAGGGAGGGAGAAAGAGAGAGAGAGAGAAACATCAATGTGCGGTTGCTGGGGGTTATAGCCTGCAGCCCAGGCATGTGCCCTGGCTGGGAATCGAACCTGCGACACTTTGGTTCGCAGCCTGCGCTCAATCCACTGAGCTACACCAGCCAGGGCTGGCTGCCTGTTTTAAATGATGGTTAATAAATAACACTGATATATGGTTGATATCTAACCTTAATAATATGATAAAAGTATAAAAGCACTCATCCTTGAATAGAGTCCCCCAGGTCATAATTCTTGGCTAGTCTGTAGTTCTGTCTTAGATATTGCATCTTCCTTTGTCTCTTTTAGTCTGGATAGACTGGATTATACTACACTAACCCTCAAATCTCAGTGACTTAATATCATGCAGGGTTATTTCTGGTTAGTGCAAAACAAAGTCCATTGTGGCAACAAATCAGGGTGTTTGCCTGTTCCTACCTCTTCACTAATGATGGCATTGATTCCGTCTACTTCCAGCTGTGGTTCTGCATCTTAACATGAGGTCTCCCCAGTTGCCACACCAGTGGAAGAGAAAGCTGGAGGGTTTCTCACTGGTTCTTTCAATGCTTTGGCCTCCAAATGACATAGATCACCTCTCTCACAGCCTGCTGGCCAGAACCAATCATAGGCCACACCTAAGAGCTAGGGGGATGGGAAGTGTGGGGGATCGGATGACTATTTGGTGAGCACACTTTGTATGTCACAGTTTCTAACTGTGTCAAAGTCTCTTTGACTTTTTTCATTTTCTTGCCTTCTTCCCCTATTAAAAGTTCCCATTTGGCTGTTCCCTGCATAGGATTTTAGGCAGTCTTTTCTGTTGTTCTTTTTGTTTTATAGATGATATTCCACTTGGTCGTCCTAAGAAAAAGAAGCCAAGAACAAAAGCCCCGCTAGGTAAGAAGTTGTTCTTTGCTGCATGGAATCATGAGGTTTTCCAGGACTTCAGGCACAATAAACATCACAGATCGAGGAGAGACAAGTCACTGCTGCCTTAAGGATAGAATCAGGGTCACTTTGAAGCAAAGAGGTTCCTGATGGTGTGAGGGACAGGGCAGTGAGCAGCCTGAAGAGAGTCTAGAAGGATTCATAAAATAAAGGGTTGTGCCACCAACACTCTTACTTCTACTGCAGTCTTGGACTCTTAGAAGCCTTCTATCCCTGGAAGAACATTAAGTTGTCTTAAGCTATGGTTGGTTTCAGACCCTTGAGTGGGATACTGGATGTAGAGTCACAGGTTCTTGGGTATGTCATTTTAGTCAGAGAATCTCTGTGTTAGAGCACGAGTCTGGAGGCGGGACCTTGCCATCCAGGTATTAAGCTCCAGTAATGTGCAAGTTCTGTGAACTCCTTTTCGTTTGAGTTACCCACTAATGATCCTGGATGTTCTGTCAGTAACTCTGACTCGCTCATTCAGGATTCATCACCTTCAACAATAAATCAATTTTTACTTCTCACAAATTTCTGTTAATGGAACCCACCACTCTCCAGTCACTCAGGCTGGAAATCTCAGGGTCGCCTCTCACTGGTCCCTTCACTCTACTTGTTGCTTCTACTTGCTTACATCTTCTGTGGCATCTTTTATGTCTCTTTCCCCTTTCATTTTCACTGTCACAACTAGGTAGTTTAGCTCTAACCTTACACTGTTAGACCTTAGCTATCCTCTTCTAACTTTAGCTGTCATGGTAGCCTCCAATATTGTGCTTCTAGCTTTCTTTCACTCTCGTTGGTCCTGTCTCCACAGCTGGATGAGCTTAAAGCTCATAGCTGATCAGACCTTACACTTGGTCAGAAACTTACTTTGGCTTACCATTGATTTCCTAACAAATGGAGGAATAAATGGAGAAAAATAAAGAAATAGAGATGGATGCATAGAAAGAGAAAAAGACATAAACATAGATAAAAAAGAAAAGAGGTGCAAAGAGACTTAGATTCACAAAGATACTGAAATGCTAGGTTCTAGAAATGCACTCACCATTAAATATAGACATGTACATCTGGACTTAGGAAGGTTCCAGGTGGAGGATGCAACAAAGACAAGAGTTTGGAGCAGAGATGCTGCTCTGTCTCGGCTGCCAGCACTTTTTTTTTGGTAAAAGTCAGTGCCCTAGATATAAAAGGATATGTTGCTAGGTTATTAAAACTGTTCATTTTGATTATTTCAGTTTTTCACTGCTATAGTTTTGCTCTAATTCTAAAATGGTGGTAGGGAAGAAGAGCTGTTTTCATAGGATGGGTTGCTAGCAGTAAAATAGTAGAGAAAGGACATGTGCATTAATAATATGATAAGATTATGCTAAATTGCCTTCAAGGAAGCTTTAGTTATTTATTGCCATCAACAGTTTGAGTGTCACATTCACTAAATCCTTGACAACATTGGACAATATCAATCTTTTAAAATTTTTTGTCAGTTTAATGGGCAAAATGTGTTTATTTTAGTTTTCATTTGTCTGAATACTAATGAGTTTAAGCATATATTTGTTTATTAATACATTTATATTTCTTTTGTGAAGAACATGGGCATGGAAATGTAGTCAAGTAAAACTCAGATCTGCCAAAATGTGTCAGAATCTGTTCAAAGACTTGATGAGGGGAGAGATTGAAATGAATGACCAAATGAAGAGATTTATGAATTATCTGTTAACTCCAGTTGTCCATGATGATGTTATCATGTGTTAATTTCGTAATGAAGTACTCAACTATATAAAGGCTAATAATTTATAAGGATAAGACAAATAAGAGAATTCTCTATGGTAACAGTTTCCGTTATGTTTCTACTTTGTTGAAAATTTTGAAGCAAATTCTCCACCTCTCCTTCTTTTGTTCTTCGTCCCAGCTCCTACCCCTTTTTCTTCTTCATTTTCCCTTGCTCCCTCATTTATTTCCTTTCTCACTTAAAACCTGAAGTTACAGGTGAGGAAGAAGGAAATCAAGATTTGGGGCATAATCAGTTCTATAGGAGAAGGAGTGATTATATGGGAAACCTTCCAGTTCCTTCTTTTTCCTTCTTCTGAAGACTCAGTGATCTCCGCTCAAGTTATCCCATTTTTTCCACTCTGTATTTCTGTAGCAAGTGCTTCTTTGGAAGGCCTTGTTCAGACTGCTGTTCATAGGCCACCTGAGAGCAGTGAGCCACCACTTAAAGAACCCAAAGAGCATGTAGAAGCTCCTGTTCCAAGAAGACAGAAGAAGACAAGGCTACCTCTTGGTATGTAAAAACAAGGGTAGGTTGTGAAAGCAGTTGTGATTTTGGGTGTATTATTAAAAACCTGTCCCTATTTTTTTCCACCCATATTCATTTTTTTCTTTCTTGCTTAAAATTTTTATCACTAGAGTAACGCTAATGCAGTAAGTTAAGAACACTTTAGAGTATCTCTTTTGATAATATGTGTGTAGATTTTAAGGGAAGTGGTACAAATTCAGGACTAAAATAGAAAGATTAGATCTTGATGTGTGTAAGAATTTAGTGTATATTGAAATGAACATTCATTTGAGATTAGTGGAGAATGGTTGGGTTCTCTATTAACAATGATATTATAAGGCAATAGCCAACATTTGTTGAGTTTTGCTATGTCCCAGGCACTGTTCACAAGGTAAACAATACTGTATCATTTATTTTGCCTATCAAATTGGCAATGCTTTTTAAAACTTACAAAATCCAAAAGTGTTGATGATAAATGGGAACACTCATATGCTGCTGCTAAGAATATAAATTGGTATAGCCTGTTTGAATTTGTAGGAATAGAAGTAACTACAATAGCTATAGTAATTAAAGGATGTTAACTGCAATATTATTTATAAGAGTAGAAACTAGTAATACCAAGCATTTAACAATGTGATCCTGGCTAAATAAAACATTTTATTCATTTAATAGAAACCAAGTAACCATAAACAGGATTGTTAAGGTGATACAGTAACATGGAAAACCATTAGTAATATATTGTTGAGTCAAAAACAAAGGCTATAAAAGAGTATGTATAGAGGATCCCATTTTGTAAAATATGTTGTATTAATTTTTAAGGCTCCATAACAGATTACTAGAAACTGGGTGACTTAAAACAACAGAAATTTAGCCTCTGACAGTCCTGGAGGATAGAAGTTCAAAAGCAAGGTGCGCACAGGGTCATGCTCCCGCCGGAGGCTCTAAGAAAGAATGTATCCTTGCCTCTTCTACCTTCGGTGGTTCTTCGCAGTCCTTGGCTTATGACAGCATAACGTCTCTCTGTGCCTCCTGTTCTCACATTGTTCCACGTGTGTCTCTGTTGAATCATGCAGTGTTTTTCCATATTTTTTTTGCCATTGCAGTTTCAAATCTTGTGTTTTGTGTTTAAAGGTGTAAAATTTTAAAAATAAATGTGTAAGACGCTAAAAAAATTATTTGTCCAATTAAATTTTTTAAGGTTCTTTTGTATTACAAAACTCTTGTACATTGCTTTTCTTTTTACATTATAGTAATTTGAAAATTTACTCTTTTTTTTTTTTTTTTTTTTTTTCAGAATTGGAGACTGCCTTTGTCCAGAAGACATCTAGTCCACCTTTATTACGAAATGAAAATGGTATCGATGGGGAGCCAGCTGAGGAGCCAGTCATTCAAAAACTTCGCAGGAAGACGAAGTAAGAATTTACTATATCTTCTAAATATTCTTCAGGGACACTCTGATGCTTGATTTGGAGCTCCCCAACAAAAGTTTCTGATTAGGTCTTACAAATACTTATAGTTGTATATCTCTAAGTTAAGTAGTATTACAAAAATATTAGTTAAACCAGTTTAATGATAAATTTGAAAAGTGTAAACCACTGAGCAAAGTAAAATATTGTACTTAAATAAGAATTCTTAGGAACTGTCTCTAAAAAAGGAATAACACAGCCCTGGCTGGTGTAGCTCAGTGGATTGAGCGCAGGCTGGGAACCAAAGTGTCGCAGGTTCGATTCCCAGCCAGGGCACATGCCTGGGATGCAGGCCATGACCCCCAGCAACCGCACACTGATGTTTCTCTCTCTCTCTTTCTCCCTCCCTTTCCTCTCTAAAAATAAATAAATAAAATCTTTAAAATATATATATTTTCTGTTTTCTAAAGCATAATATTTTGAGAGCTGAAAGGAGCCTCAGAGATCATCTTTATTAATAAAATAGGTGATTATAATTTATTTTCCCATGTTAACAAAATTCAAATTATGACTATTTCAGCAACAAGTAAAAATGTGTATTTTAGCATGGGGAATTGGGTCAGATAAATAGAATGAATACTTTAAAGAAGTACACTGGAAGTTATATAACACTATTATTTGAATTTAGAAATGACCCTATACTTAGTAATTGGTATCTATATGAAATGATATAATTTTAAGTCTGAAAAGAACCTTACAAATCTAGTTTAGTCACTTCATTGTCGAGAGGAGAAAACTGAGGCCCACAGAAATATAGGTGACTTGCTGCACATGACGGTTAATAACTGATCTGTTTGAGTAAAATCCAGATTTTTCCACTCGAAGTCCAGGGCTCTTTTCATTCTACTAGCAGGTACCTCTTTATGTAAGTCTGTAAAAATTCAGTAATCATCCATTTTTTTTTTTTACATTCTCCCTGATTACAGGAAAACACAGCCAGCAGAATTGCAGTATGCCAATGAGCTGGGAGTGGAAGATGAAGACATAATTACTGATGAACAGAGTAGTCCAGAACAGCAGTCTGTGTTCACTGCACCCACTGGCATTAGCCAGCCTGTAGGCAAAGTGTTTGTGGAAAAAAGCCGTAAGTGGTTCATTGCTTTGGAACATGATCACTTTAAGAAGTACGCTAGGATATCACTTGACCTAGGATTTATACTTCTGGAAATCTGAATTAAGGAAATAAGCAAAAGCAAGGACAAAAATTTATACACAATGCTAATCATCACACTGTAATTCATGAGAACAAAAACTGGAAATTACCTAAATATGAAAGAACCTAGGCATAATTTCAGTAAGGTATGCTGTATGTATACAATAAAATTTGCATCATTAAAAATAATATTTAGGGAGAATTTTACATTTTGTGGAGTCTAATAAAAAATAAATATGCACACACATATACTTTGATCTCAACTATAGAATGCACAGGACAAAAGAAGGAAATGCCAAAATATTAATCCTGGTTGTTGTATAATTTCTGGGTTACAGGATTTTGGGTAATTTAAAAAATCTCTTATCGTCTGCCCATTTTTTTATTCTTTGTTTTACTTTAGTAGTTTTGTGCAGTTGGTAGTGGTGTAGGTGGTGGGTCAGACAATGATATAAATGCTATAATTAAAAACAAATGAGAGAACATACATGATCATATTGCCGTATTAAATAAGAAGTACAACATTATAGCCATAAATTCGTTTGGACAACAGTTCTGATGTTACGTAGCATGTACTGGTTGTAAAACTGCACTTGCACTGTTTTAAGAAAAGCTTACTGAAGCATGATCATGCCACATGCTCCTCCCGTAGATGTGCTGTGTGCTGTGAATGTCCTGTGTGCTGTGAATATCCTGCCTGAAGAACTCATCTGAAACAAAACTTAGGCCTAGAAATTTACAATTTAGATTTTATGTAAGTTGTGTTAAAATTGTGGTTCTGTAGTATCCCATCTGAGGGACCTTTGCCAGCGAGAAACCTGTGAGCTAGAGAGGCTAACTGACTTACCCGGGGTCCCACAGTTGATTAGTGCAGAACTGGAACTCAGGCTTTCATGACTTCTAGTCACGTGCTTCTACTAGCATACCATGCAGCCATTTAATTTACTTCAAGCTGTTATCAAGCATAATCACTCAGTCGTTTTTATTCTTGCCTCCCTTAGCACAGAAACGTCCTTACTGAGAGTAACTGACCATAAGAAATATGAGTTGTCTGTCCAGAAGTTGTCTTTGCATAGGGAAAATTATATGATGCCCCTCTGCCTGTTCTCCAAAATATGTGGCAGCCAGGGTTGGCAAGCATGGTTGAAACGGACCTTGCTGCCACCTGAGGTCCATTTGTGGGGTGGTAGATATATGAGGAGAGGCCTCCTTGCTAACAGTGAAAGGGTGAAGCTCCGCTTATGCAGTGTTGCAGTGCTGACACTTGAACTGATACTTTTTGCAGGAATCCTCTTAAAACAAGTTTATGAAACAACCCATTTCCTTTCTGTCATCACAGAGTACCATGTACATACACTGGTATCTTTCCCTAAGAAATGTAAAGTGTTTTCAAATGTTGACTTGCCTTTATTTGGTTGACATTTGAACATTAGTACTTCTAAAATCTATAAATTAGAATATTTTAGACTTTGTCATGTTAAAGGTTGCTAGACTTTTTTTTTTCAGTTGGAAGTTCATTATTGTATTTCATTAAATAGAATCGGTTTCCAAAACTGTTACTTCAATATCATTTTGGTTTGAGTAGAAAGCACACAGACATTGTTTATTTTTCTTAAAGATGAAAAAAGTGCTGTGTTTAAGCACCTGAAAGTAAAGAGCATTTTGAAATAAGGACTGAGTCAGGGAGGATTTTTAGAAAAACAGCAAAATTTCATATTCCATCTAAGGATTCTTAAGTATGGAATAATAAAAAAAGGCTGTCAGGGTTCTCTTTTGTTAACTAGTAATTGTGTAATGTGTTCCTAGGGCGATTCCAGGCCACCGACCGTTCAGAGTTGATCAAGACCACAGAAAACATAGATGTGACCCTGGACGCGAAGCCTTCCTGGACGACCAGAGATGTTGCACTCTCAGTGCACCGGGCTTTCAGGTGGCTGCTTTTGCTGGACTTTTCTTAAAACAAATATTCCATATATATATATATTTTTTTTTAATTTAAAGTGTTGATTGTTCAACACTGGTTAATAATCTACCTTCTGTGTATTAAAAAGAAAAGGCATGTTTTTGGTTTTTATGAAGTGGTGAATTTTACCCATAGGAGTAAAATCTTAAAATATTTTAGCTTTTTACTTCAGTAATTCATGTATAATAATAAAACCCTTTTCCATTCAGGATGGTTGGTCTCTTTTCTCATGGTTTCTTGGCTGGCTGTGCTGTGTGGAATATTATTGTGATATATGCTCTAGCAGGAAGTCAGCTTTCTAACCTCTCCAACCTTCTGCAACAATACAAGACCTTAGCATATCCATTCCAGAGTCTTCTCTACTTGCTTTTGGCTCTAAGTACAATTTCAGCTTTTGACAGGTAAGACTGAGGTGACTATAGGTCCCACTAACTTTTCTTCAGGAGGAAATGTTGAGCAACATCTGTCACTGACTATGACAGTTTTCAAAACAGAATTATAGAGCCCTGGCTGGCGTAGCTCAATGGATTGAGTGTGGGCTGCAACCCAAAGCATCACAGCTTTGATTCCCAGTCAGGGCACATGCCTGGGTTGCAGGCCACGGCCCCCAGCAACTGCACATTGATGTTTCTCTCTCTCTCTTTCTCCCTCCTTTCCCTCTCTAAAAAGAAAGAAAGAAATAAATAAAACAAAACGGAATTATAGGATATTCATTTTATTTGACTTACTTTTAGGCCAGTCTGTTTTTGTTATTTTGGGAGGTTGGGAGTGGTTATACTGTAAAAGAAAAAAAATAATCAAAGTCTTAACTCATTTCAGCATCAACTCTAAGTTCAAAATTTCTTCCAAATATAATCAACTCAAAAAGTCCCAGATAAGAGATATTAGATTCAGGTAATCTAAATCACCTGAATCAGGTACAGATAAGAGTTTGGATATTGTATCAGTCTCTTAGGATTACTATAACAAATACAACAAACTGAGTGGCTTAAAACAATACCAATTTATTCTCTCAGAACTGGAGGCTAAGTCTGAAATCAAAGGGTCAGCAAGGTTCATACCATTACAGAAGGCTCCAAGAAAGTCTGTTCCATGCTTCTCTCCTAGCTTCCAGTGGTTGCTGGCAGTCATTGGTGTTCCTTGGCTCAAAGATGCATCACTCCAGTCTCTGCCTCTCTTGTCACATGGCAGTCTTCCCTGTGTATCTTTGTGTCTGGGCCTCCTCTCTCTTTTTTTAATCCTCATCTGAGGATATGGTTTTTATTTACTTTAGAGAGAGAGGGAGGCTGAGAGAAACAGAGAGAGAAACATCAATTAGTCGTCTTCCACACACCCTGACTCAGGATCAAACCCATAACCCAGGCATGTGCCTTGACCGGGAATTGAACCTATAACCTTTTGTTGTGTGAGATGATGCTCCAATCAGCTGAGCCACCCAGCCAGGGCAATGTGTCTCTTCTCTTATGAGGACACCAGCCATATTGGATTATGGTCTATTCTAATGGCCTCATCTAAACTTGATCACATCTGTAAAGACCCAATTTCCAAGTAAACTGTAGCTACCTAAGGCTTAGTAAGAGAAAATAAATGTAGTAGCATTAGACTAGAGAAGGAAACACTAAAGAGAATACAGTTTTGTAAGAAGTTTACAGTTGGCACTGTGACAAGAGACTTTTGTATGTTCTAGGATTGACTTTGCCAAAACATCAGTAGCAATCCGAAATTTTCTTGCTCTGGATCCAACAGCTTTAGCCTCTTTCTGTGAGTAAATAGTTTAATTTGATGTTATACTTGAGTTACATTGTAATTTTGAACATGGAAAAGTTTAATTTTATTTTTTAAAAGATTTTATATTACTGCTATCTATAAACATAGATGTTCAGTAGAATTTGTATTAAAAAACATGTTAAGCATAATTTCAATTAAATTATTTTTCAATAGAGGTTGAACTAAATAGCTTAAAAGTTAATTTCTTCTGTATTAAATAATATTTAACTTTTGTATTTTCTACTTGACATTAAACAGATTGAGCTGGCAATAGCATTTCAGTAATAAATAATACTTTTTATCTTTTGGATAATTTGGAATACATTTTAAGTTATGAAAATATTAATAAAACTAGTTTTAGGACCTTGAGTCAGTTACTTAATTTCTTAAAAAATCTTCTAGGTTCTAGTCAGTTCTAATAAAATAGTGAGCACCTCAAAAGACCATTTTGTGTTCTTGAAAAATAATCCAGCCTGTTGAAATTGATCAAATGAATTACTTTTATATCATCATTCCCTAAAGTATAGATTATTTTTCTTCCTTAAAGTAATCCATACATTCAAAATAAACTTGGCTGTTAAAAATACATTATTAGTAACTTCATTTATCTTTTTCTCAGTGTACTTTACTGCTCTCATACTATCTCTGAGTCAGCAAATGACAAGTGACAGAATACACCTTTACACACCTTCTTCTGTTAATGGTAGTCTCTGGTAAGATCCACAGTAGCATTGGCAATTGTTGATGGTAATAACAGTGATAATGGGAGTAATGATGGTGATAGCACTGATAATGGGAGTAATGATGGTGATAGCACTGATAATGGGAGTAATGATGGTGATAGCACTGATAATGGGAGTAATGATGGTAATAACGGTGGTAATGGGAGTAACAACAGTGATAATGGGAGTAATAGTGGTGATAACAGTGGTAATGGGAGTAATAACACTGATAATGGCAGTAATGATGGCAATAACAGTGATAATGTAATAGATATATGTAAGAGTAGAAGGATTAGAATGGTATCATTATTTATAAAAAATAATAAAGGCCCTGTTTTTGTCTCCAAAATTGTGGCAAGAAAATATCTATTCCTTTGGTTAATGGATTGTTACAAACACTTACAAATCTGTTTTAAGTCTCTTTAAGCTATGGTTTTAAAATATGTCATTACACAATGAACTGGAAGAACCCTGTACCCTTACCCCCAATCCGGAGCCTAATACCCAAGAATAGTGATGACAGTGAGTAGCTGGGAGAGAGCAGGAAAACCAGGCAGTGCTAGAAACAGAGCAGACGAGGGAGTGCCAACCTAGACACTAAAAGGAGGCTGAGATTCCAGTTTGCAAAACTCAGAGGGGCAGTCTTTTTTGAGAGAGTGACTAAAAGCATGAGGTAAAGAGAGAAAGGAAAGATACTTCATGAAGGGTAGGTAACAACGTAGTTGGGAGGTAAACTTACAAAAATTTTTGGCAACACTGAATTTCCATTTATATCTGTACAAAGCACATCTGTTTAGAATTCCATAATAACCTTTGGACCTTTGTTCTCATGATATATATTCATAATATATATGGTGAATTTTATAGGGTATCATTTTATTTCACTCTTATATCCCTGTAGATGAGGACTGCCATGTTTTTAAAGTTTATTAAATGGATATATTTAGATATGTGAACAAAAATAATGACATTAATTAATAATGAGTATTTCTGCATCTTTAGGGAAGCAGGAGCTGAGGAACAGGTTCTCCAGCCATGGATCGTGGTGAACCTAGTGGTGGCCATTCTGGTTGGATTATCTTGGCTTTTTTTGTCCTATAGGCCAGGCATGGATCTTAGTGAAGGTATGAAAGAACAAATAGCCCTGGCTGGTGTGGCTCAGTGGATTGAGTTCTGATCTGTGAACCAAAGGGTCCTCAGTTTGATTCCTAGTCAGGGCACATGCCTGGGTTGCAGGCCAGGTCCCCAGTAGGGGATGCACACGAGAAACAACCACACATTGATGTTTCTCTCCCTCTCTTTATCTCTCCCCCTCTACTCTAAAAATAAATAAATAAATAAATAAATTTTAAAAGGAACAAATAGTATGAACATACAATGAAATCTTCTATAATGATTTTAGAAATTTTTTAATGGCTATAGCTTATAATATTGTCATAGCAAAGACATAGTTAAAATAACACAAAAACAGTGACAGTAAAGTGGTGAAACAGAATATCAAGAGAAACAGGGAGGAGTGTCTAGGAGGGTGGGAATCTCAAAGCACTGGATGAGGGCCTTCTGTGGCCCTAGTGCATACTTAGGAGGGGTTTTTTTGGAACTCTTCGAGAATTTTATACAACATCCTTGTCCTTCATTTCTCCTATTCTCCAATCAGAGTATCTCTTTATTTTATTTAGCTTTATTTTTTATTACAGTTTACTTTCAATATTATTTTGTATTAGTTGCAGGTGTACAGCACAGTGGTCAGTCTTATACTTCACAAGGTCAAAATACCTTTAAATTTGAAATAAATCATGCTTCGTTTACATAGCCTGTCAAATGCATATTAGAGTGAATTATTCTTACCTCTTTTTCTACTCTTAACCTTTCCTTTCTAATAAAATGTTTAGTTATCTTACCTTGAGTGTGCCCAGTGAAGTGAGATTTACTGATCTCTAGTTCCCAGACTCCTTCTGGAACCCCTGAAGGACAGGAGCCATGTTAACAAACCGCTAGTCCTTCGGCACCGCTTTAGGGACTGCTAGCTGTTTGTAGTGTAAGTTGTAGTTCATTGGCAGATGTTCCACGATTACACACTCAAATCTCTGTGATAGTTTCTGGACTTTGATTATTACTATGTTCTTGATTATTAAACATTCTGAGCATTTAACTGCAATTTGATCATCTGATTACAAACTGTCTGAAAAGTCTTAGAACTGAAACTTTTCCTAGCATTTCCAGTTGTAAAAAATCACGACAAAAAATGTAATCTTGTATTTTCATTTATGAATGTACCTTTTGGTATCATTCTTATGTTGCTTCACTAAATATCCTGTTGCTTTATTTCTTTTGATATATGTAAAGTATTTTTAAAAATCTTATTAGGGTTTATGTATTTTGCTGTTTTCTTTCACTCAGTATAGTTTTTAGTCATTCAAATATATTTTTCATTGAATACTTACATCAGAAAATTTTATTAGGTTCCTGAGGTTTTCTTTTTTAATATTTCTTGGTATTTTAGTAAGTTATATATATGCTAAGTAATAGTTTAAATGTAGAAATGTCAACTAATAACATTCTACACTGTAGTTGGGATTGAGCTGGCTTATGCAGTATTCAGTCTAAATCACAAAGTGTGTGTTACTTACAAAATACTTACTGAATCCTGCCCTCTTTTAGGGCCATGGGAATTATATAACATTTTATTTTCCATGAGGATAAAAAGTAAATATAAAATGGGAATGCTAATACCTCCCTCATAGGATCATTATGGTGATTAAATGAGATAACACATTTAAGATATCCTGGCAAACACCTCACTTGTTAGTTCCAGGCCCTCCCTCTATATCTGTGCCCTACATTTTAGGTTGTCACGACCATTGTAGAATTAGACATTTCAGCTGTGTGACGATCCTGTGTTCTCCTAGTGACTTAAATTTCCTGGTGGGCGTTATTCTGTTATTTCCATTATATATTGTTTTATTTTCCAGGGGTTAACAGTACTTAAAACTTGAAATTCTTTATTTTTACCTTTTGGGAAATTTTAAATGCAAAATTTGTACATTTGTGAGCTCACCTGTTAAATCAGATCTTACTATCAAGAATTCTTGTACTTGAGGATTTTCTATTGTTATATTATTTTCTAATATATATGTCAATATGTCATATTTTATAAGATATATATCAATATGTCATATATTATGTCAATATTTAAAAGGATCTTTAATAATTAAACTAAAAAAGTCTTTTTGAGGTACTGGGAAACCATTTTAAATATGATCTGTTCATCTCCTCTTCCAGAGTTGTTGTTCTCCTCTGATGTGGAAGAATCTCCTGGTAAAGATAAAGGGATCAAAGCCTCTTCCTAGTGCCTGCTCACCTTCAGAGGAATGATAACCCAGTATTGAGAATTTTTCTCATTCTTGCTTTTAAATGTATTTTTGTAAGATATGTACAGGTGTGTTTGGAATTGATTTTTTTTATTATATAATACTGAAAAGATTCTCAAGATTATGGAAAATGTTGAAATTGTATCTGTAATTTATACCCATTCATTTCAACAGCATTATTATCTTAATGACAAAGGAGATAATGAGCTAGAAACCAGTAGGTGAAAGTGTTTATTTCCTGTTCTCTCAAATTAAGTGCATTTATAATCATTAGCTTAAAAAGCACTAGTACAGAAAAAGCCATAATTTCAGTGTTACAAAAGATGTATCAGGTTTAAATATAAATTTAGGGAATAGGGAAGAAGGGGGAAAAAAAGACCTTTATTATTTATTTTTGATGTCTCCTTTCTGAATTAATTGAAATACTAAATTTGTCTTTTTTGAAATGGACTTAATGGTTGTATATCATGTAATAAGCATAATGTAATATAATTTAGTTTGAAAGATGCTCATTTTATGGCTAATAAAAAGAAAATATATCTTTTTCATTGGAAAAGTCTTTTAACTGAAAAAGTTTACTTCCCTTAAAACCTGTATCACTGGTTCCCATAGCTGGTTGCACATCAGAATCGTTTAGGGAGCTTTAAAAACACAGTATAGCAAAAGAGAAGCTGAGTAGGCCAAGAGCTCAGGGAAATAAAGGAGAGGCAAAGTGAACTTGTTGAACTAATAATCAATTGACTTCTGACAAGAAATATGAGTAGAAATTCACTGTGTCTATTATTAAGCTCTTTGTCAAAGAGAGCTTTGGTTCTTGAAATTCACTCTTGATGTGGGTCCTGCACTGGAAAAGGTTTCTTCAGAGCTGTATCCAGTGGTGCCTCAACTGACATGAAACCCTAGAACTGAAGATAATAATGCGACTCTATGGGAGAAGGTGTCTCAAAGGCTCTGGAGTGCATCAATAAAACTTGGGCCAGCCCTGAGTAGCAAGCAACTGAATGTTGTAGCAAAGAAGAGGGTTGAGAAATTGATGATAGAGAGGGATGGCTCTGAGAATAGGTCTGAATTTGGTGTAAGCATCATAGTAGGAGTATTTTGCTGTCTGTAAGGCTGGAGTTGCTGAAAAGGGAATTTCCCCTGCTGTCACCAAACTGTGAATCCACTGGCATCCTGCCAGTTCCAACTTTCACTGTGATCACCGATGGTCTTCATGCTGGCAGCAAGCTGGCAATGCAAGAGTTCATGATGCCCCTTGTCAGCAGACTTCAAGGAAGCCATGCTCATTAGAGCTGAGGCTTACCACACCTGGACAATGTCATCAAGGAGAAATATGAGAAAACCAATGTAGGGGATTGCGGTAGGCATAATAATGTCTTCCAAAACTGTCCATGTTCCAATTCTTGGAACCTTACAATGGCAAAAGGGATTTTGCAGATGTGATTAAGGTTCTGAATCTTGAAATAGGGAAATTATCTTGTATTGTATGGTGGGCCCGGTGTAAACACATGAGTCCCTAAAAACAAACTTCCATTGTCATATGATGATGGAAGAAGGGTCAGAGAGTTGTGATGCTGATTGCTTTGAAGAAAGAGGAGGGGGCCACAAGCCAAGGAGTGCGGGTGACCTCTAGAAGCTGAGAACAGCCTTTGGCTGACAGCCAGCAAGGAAATGGGTATGAGCTCCATCCTACATCTTTAAGGAATTGAATTCTGCCAACATGCCTAAAGGAAACAGACCCTCCCCTAGGACTCTCAGAAAGGAACTCAGCCCTGCTGACACCTTGGTTTCAGCCTGGTGAGACTGGTGTCAGATTTTTGACATACAGAACTGTAAGATAGCAAATGAGTGTTGTTTAAGCTGCAATTTGTGGTAATTTGTTGTGGCAGCAATAGAAAATTAATATAGGCTTCAAGGGGGTTTTGCTCCCAACATTTTGGAAAAGAGAGAAGCTCTGGAGCTGCTGTGAATGCCATTGGGAAAGCTGGCTACATTGATAATACTGTAACTAGTGTAGGCATAGTTGCCTTTGAGTTTTTCAAGTCTTGGCAGTATGATTTGGACTTTAAATCTCCTGAGTAGCTGGTGGATCTGCATACATCTTCATCAGGAACATCCAGTAATATCTATCAAAAAACCTTTGGCCATGATGATGGGGAAAGTTGGAAGAAGTTCATTGCTAATGTATATTTCCATGATTGGCTCAAAATCATAATTTTCCTCACCTTTCTCCTCTCATCAAGTGTGGGTAGAGTGATATGCTTAGAAGAGCTTCTTAGGTGTCAACAGACAAGATCCTCAGTGGGTTTTTAATTTTTTTAGGGTGCAAAATAAAGTGCTCAATAATTAATAAAGTGTTCAATAATTAATACCTACCCCCCCACCCTACTCCCCCCAAACAGAACAAAACATATATAGGCCCCTGGGCCCCATCCCCAGAGATTCAGATCCAATAGAGCTGAGGTGGTGCCTGGAAAACTACCTTTTAGAAAGATACCCCAGGTGATTGTGATACAGCTAAGTAGACTAGCTGGCATTTGGGACCTCTGGCCTATTTGCAATCTATTATGAAATATAAAGCTTGGATTGAAATAGATGACTTAATCTTGGTCAAATTGCTAGGTCTGTGTGAAGATAAAAACAAACAAAAAAGCAAAACATGGTACCTGCCTTCTAGAAGCTCATAATCTAGTCAGAAGACAGGTATGGGAATTGAAGAATCTAGGAAAGTATTGTAGTTATAAATTGAATCATAGGGAGTGTACTCTTTGGAAATTAGCTTTTTCTACTCAGCATAATTCCCTGGGGATTCATTGAGGGGACAGTGTGAGGAAGTAGCGATTGATATTCTAAGTCTCGCAGAAAGAACTGGTGCAGCTGGGAGGACTTATGATGGGTTAGGGGTCAGACTAGAAAACGAACCCGGTTGATTGACCACTGTGCTTGAGGAGCCTGGCTGCCCACCAGTAAGGGAAACTGAAATGACCCTCCCAGGTCGCTAAGCTCACACGCCCCTGAAGGGAGCCCTGGACAGGAGGCTGACCTACACGTGCGCGTCACGCAGTATTGTACGAGGGTTCGTGGGGGGTTGGAGGCGGGGAGAGCGCGGGAAAAGACCTGAGAGGGCTGCGCCTGCGCAGTAGCCAGCTGTCGGTTAGGCGCAGACTCTCCCGGCAGAGGATGGAGGGAAGGATCCTCCCCAACAGATGACTAAGGTTTCCAACACAGCTGATAACCACGGCCTTGCTCACGGACCCCGCACTCAGAGGAGTTCCCATACTTCCCTGGAAACCACGCACATCAGAGTTTTCTTCAGTTGGTAACTTCCAGGAGTCGGCAATACCTCGGGCCTGCCGGGGGACAGAACCAAGGAGGGTAAAGGGCAGCGCCTGGTGGATGTGAGTGCCCCCCCCCCGCCCCCCAGGGGAGCCTGTCCACTACCCGACCCCCCAGAGGGACAGGGAAGGACAAAGGGGTCAGTGTAGGCAAATGGGAGGGAGGGAGACCTGTCCGAAATTGGGAGGTGGCAATACCTGGGAAAGATTTTGACAATTATTTAACTTATCAGAGCCTCGTTTTATTAACTATTAAATAAATACGGTAACTGCCTACCTTACTTTTGCGGTATCTGAAGAACCAAAAGAGATAATGATATAAAGTGCTTAACAATGCAAAGCACACAGTAGAGTCGATAAATGTTAGCTGCTGTCCTCATCATCATCACTGAGATTTCATTTCTGTGGCCAAAGCGCTGAACTCCAGACACTTTAGTTACCCTTGTTTTCAGTACCTGGGGTTCTTTTCTTTTTCCAAATAAATGTCCTAACATCATTTTTTTAAAAAATTCATCTTTGCCCAAATGACTGAAGATGTCACCTTTACACTAAGTTATCATATGTATTTTTTTTTCCTGGGCTTTCTATCTGTTCCACTGGTCTGTTTATCAATTTCTGTGTATTATTACATCAGTATAACATAGTATACAATATAAACTGTGCCTTGCTTCTTTATGCTTTTACATTTGTTTCTCCCATTTAGGCTCCTCTCCTACTTCTTAATTTTTCACTTCTTCAAACTCGCTTGAAGTATCATCATCTCCTTCCCCAACACTCTCTACCCAACCTCCGTCTTTGCCTTGTGTTTCTGACATAGTTCGTAGGCATTCTGAATGGGGCTTGGTACTGGAATCTTACCCCCTGTTCCTCTTTAGCTCCTCTTTGTGACCATCAGTATTTTTGAGAAAGGAGGCAATCAGATGAGGAAGTAAGTCTCAGTTTTATCCAAGGCTTTCTGGTAATGAGTCTAAACTGAAAACTATTAGGCTGTCAAGTGGAGATGGTGAACCTTCTTGATTCTAAGCAGACTGTGCCCAAGTGGGCATATGCATGGCAACTGACAGCTTAAAGCCTCCAGAAAAGGCAGATTTAGGACAGTGAGACATAATTATAGGAACACAAATGTGACTCTGTATCAGTGGTCTCTAAATTTCTTTCATTGCAGTAAATGTCAGTAAAAATCATGTGAGTATTATCACCAGTCTTTGTACATTTATTTACACATTACATAATATACTGAAATTTACTGTATAAATTGTACAACATACAAAATTAAAAATAAATATTGTGGAAAACAGTATGGGATTTCCTCAGAAAACTAAAGATGGAGCTACCTTTTGATCTAGTGATCCCATTGTTGGGATTATACCCTAAGAATCCTGAATCACCAATTCAAAATGCCCTACGCACCCCAATGTTCATAGCAGTACAATTTATAATAGCCAAGTGCTGGGAACAGCCTAAGTGCCCATCAGTATATGAGTGGATCAAAAAACTGGTACATTTACACAGTGGGATACTATGCAGCAGAAAGAAAGAAGGAGCTTCTACCCTTCGTGACAGCATGGATGGAATTGGAGAGTTTTATACTAAGTGAAATAAGCCAGGCTGTGAAAGTCAAATACCATATGATCTCACCTATAAGTGGAACTTAATCAACAAAACAAACAAGCAAGCAAAATAGAACCAGAGACACGGAAATTAAAAACAAACTAACAGTGACCAGAGGGGAGGGGAAGGGGGGTAACAGGGGAATAAAGGAGCAGGGGCAAGTCAAAGAACATGAATAGAGGACTCATGGGCACAGACAATGGGGGGAGATAGACTGTGGGAGTGGAACTTGGATGGGGCAGGGGAGAGCAATGGGAAAAAAGGTAGGATAACTAACTGAATGACAAAAAATATTAAAAAATAGAAATTAAAAAATAAAATACATGTCTTTCAATTACAAAAAATAAATGTTTCTAAAAATGATTTTAAATTTCATTTTGTTTATTATTGGTAAAAACTCATCAAGGATCTCTATATTTGAAAAGCTTGATTTAATACTTTGTGATGTAGTGATCTGAGGTTCTGGTTCTAAGGCACACTTATTACAGTATTGTTAATGCTGTTATATTTGGAAAAAAATACTGTCAATAATTTGCAATTCCAAAATGGAAGAGGTGCATCTTGGTTGTGTTTAGTAAATCACAATACTTATTTGTCA